TCCCATTGAATATTTTTACAAGCAGTGTGTGAGGGGCTCAAAGTCTGCCATGCCTTCAGTAGCATGTGTTCTGTTTCTCTACCACAGCTAATCTCAGGGGCCAGGGAGCTCCCTCGTTGTGTTTTGGCTTGGCTTCCTGTAATGACTAAATGGTGCGGTCACCTTTTCATGTGTTTACCAGATGGTTGTGTATCCTCTCAGAAAATGTGTCTATTCAGAGTCTTTGACTATTTTAAAAATTGGTTGTCTTTTGTTATTGAAGTAGAGAATTCTTCTGCATTCTAGATGCAAGTCCTATGAGTTGTTTTCACTTTGTGTGTGTGTGTGTGTGTGTGTGCGCGCGTGTCCTTTGAGTACACACAGAGGCTTTTAATTTCTATGAAGTTTGTTGTATTCTCTCACAGAGATCCATCTGCCTCTGCCTCCTGAGTGCTGGGATTAGATTGCACTACCACGCCAGGCTTCGTGCTTGTGCTTTAAGTATTTTATCTAAAACAGCATTGTTGCCCAAACCAAGGTCAAGATTTATTCTTATACAAGATCATAACTGTTTTATGACCATTAGCTCTTACATTAGGTCTATGATCCATTTTGGCTTAGGTTTTGTTTGTGGTATAAGGAAAGAGTCCAACTGCATTCTTTTGCATATGGACATCTAATTGTCTTAACATCATTTATTGAAATGATATGCCAGGCATTTGATGCCATCTACCTCCTTTTTACCCCATAAAGCCCTATGGGTAACCTGGCGTGGTGGTTTAATCTCAGTACTTGGGAGGCAAAGGCAGGTGGATCTCTGAGTTCTAGGGCTGCCTGGTCTACAAAGTGAGTTCCAGGACAGACAGGGCTACACAGAAAAAAAAAACAAAACAAAACACCCTGTCTCCAAAAACAAAAACAAACAAATAACACCACCACCAACCAACCAACCAACCAACCAACCAACCAAAAAACCCTATGGCCAGATATTATTCCCTCGTCACCAATGAAGACACCAAATCTTAGAAAGATCAAATAATCTGCCTGTAGCCATATGACTGATGAATGCAGGCATCTATACTTGAACTCATGTTCTTCTGACTCCAGATACTATGTTATGCTTTAAAAGCATTTTATAAACTATAAAGCAACAGTGTAGAGATGCCTTGTTGAAACCCTGAAGAGATGGGGAATGTTTAAAGAGAGAGAGAGCTGACAGCCCAGTGCTGAGAAAAAGAAGAAACAGAGGCAGAGGACTGCTTGTATCTGTGGGTTCATAAGAACAGTGGTTCTCGGATGTTTCTATTTTATATACACGCTTTTCAACTAGGACAACTGCTATCTTGCCTTTGTGACTATCGTATATGTGATCCACATAAAAGTCCCCATTAAGGCACCCAGAGCACAGAATTGAGGAAGAATACCAACATTTGGTCTCGGTAAGTGCCCACTTTCTTTAACATCATGTTAGAAAAGCACTAGTGATCGAAAGACCCTTCCTAAGAAGTGTGTATACCAATACATCCAATTATACAAATTATTATGTGCCATGCATTAGATACTGTCCAAGCATCTACAGTTTTCATGTTGATACTGTTTTGTTCTCTCCTCATTTCCCTGAAATGGTCCAAAATCTCATCACAGGATTGCCATTTGTAACTTTATCTACTTTAAGAGTAGGAACTGCATATTCCCTTAACAGCACATAGCTCTCTGACGTTTTTCAATGAATAATAGACTAATATAAAGCATGAATCAGAAATCCTGTGAGCAGTGGGGTAGAAGGTTAGTTTTAAGACATTTACGTAGGATTCTCCTAGAATATTAGATGACTATTTCAGCAAAGGCACAGAGGTACACCGGGCTCTAGTGAAAATGTTCCCATTCAGCCTGTCTCCTTTAAAGCAGGCTCTGCAATCAGCTGTCAGTGCTTCCTCTTTCTAGCGTAGGCCAGCTTGGTCTCAGGAATTCCACTCAGGGAAGGTTTTTCTGAAGTAAGAGTTATGTACATCAATCCTGTGGCTTGATAGGCACTTCTTCCTCCTGCTTCAGGCTGGAATTTTTCATCTGTTGCCGGCCCTTCAGCATCGCCTGAACACAAAGACCGAGCACACATACATTGACAGGAAGCTTGTTTTCCTTGTTTTGAAACAGAAAGTTCTTGTCCTCTTAATATCTTGAACACATTTATGTTTCCTGTGGGATAACTTGGTGTCCTTTGCCTGGGTCACTTAGAGTGAATCATAGCCCTAAGATTTTCAGGGCCTGCAAGCCCATATGTCATCTTTAAGTATTTAAAAATTAAAAAGGTATCTAGCTATATAATCATTAAATTATGTTTCATCCTCCACCATCAACAAACATGCATAAAGTGATGGCTTTAATGTGATTGAAAATTGGCAAAATATCAGAGATGGTTGAATTCGATCAGTATCAGTACAATTTTAGAATATATTACAGTAGTGATGAATTCCATTTCAAAATAAAATAAATTTTTTTTATATTTTAAGAAAATTTCCTAGCATATTCCAAATTCCCTGTGGAAGATAAAGGTAACAAATAGAGCATATTTAACATATGCTAATAAGTTAAATTGCTACACAGAGCTGAACATTTTTGACTCTTTGAAACAGTAATTTTGTTAGCTTTTTGACACGGATGCTTTTTGTGATTCAGTCTCGTGTTCAATGCTTTAGAATCAGTGTCATGAGTCTTGTGAGTTATGTCTGAATCTACACGTATACACATTTAAGAAAAATGTCACAAAATCAAATATCCCTTGACCTCTGTGTGAACTGTTGGGGACACTGCACTAATCTGAGAGTACTTCTGGAACTTTAAATGTCAGTGTGATCAGAGACAAGGGAACAAACGCTCAGCCCTCCTGGGAAGTGCAATACTGCTGTGTAAGAATCTACTGCGTTCAAGGAATCTGAGAGGAGGGACCTGCCAAGGTAGCTAGACTTTTACCTGAGCAGTCCCATACACTGGGATCTGAGACAGGAGATGTGAAGACTCACTTGCTGGGGCCAGTTATTCAGAGAAGGTTGTATCATGTTAGGAGCTTGAGTGTGAGATCTCAAGTAAGAGGTGTGCTCATGTGTCCATTAAAATATTTGTGTGTATGTGTTTACAATTTGCAAGTCCCCAAAAGCATTGCTCAAGAGAACAACCCTGTCCCTCTCTGCTCTAAGGGCACTGGTGATCCTAGGCCATGGAGTGAGGTTAAAGAGATGATTTTTCTATCCAAACTCTTATTTCAGTGACTACAGCAATAGGCATGGGAGAGGAGCATGGTCACTCAGCTAACACAAACAAGCCTTGCCTGCTGCCTTGTCACGGTCATCTGAAGGGCCATTCCGCTCACTGGCTGTTCATTTTTAGGCCTGCAGAAGATAGAATGAAGTTTTCCATTCATTTCTTCAGTCAATAAGTGTTTGTCAAGCATCCCGTTTTCCAGATGTTATTTGTGAAGATCTCGCAATGTAGAGGACACGGACTTGAACATGTATGATAATATTGTGAGCCAGGCATGTAGATGTGCTTACAAGTGCTACTGGGGCACAGAGGAAAGAACAGCTGCCCATGCCAGTGTTGGGTGGCTTGGAAAAACTTCAGAGGTGTTAGAATAAGGACAGCTTCCACTAAATTCTAAGTGCCCTCTTTACTCCAGACCTGTCTATCTAGTTATGTTTAGTTCCCATAGTCACTTGTGGAAATCATTATGCTCACTTTACATTGCAGAAGTAAACAGCCAGGGATCAGAAAGGCTAATTAGCTACTTGTTCAAGGCCACACAGGTGGTAAATGATAGAGTTGCAGTTCCCAGATCCTCCTGACTCCAGTGGATGGACTGCACTGTGTTCTGATGTTTGACCTCTCCAAAGATGTGTAAGAACGTCACTGGAGAGCATGGGAGGTAAGGTCGTCGGGCAAAAGCAGTAGCAATTGATCTCAAAGGTCTACCTTACGCATTTACTCAAGAAGCACGCTGAAAAGCATTCTCACAAGGATGAGGCCGCAGAGGCGGTGAAGCAGGAGTGCCCTGATGGTGTGAATGGGGGTCTGTGAATAACCCTTTGCTTAGTTACTAGTCATTTCCCCTAACCTCTTGGTTAGAATGTGGATTCTCCCATCAGCATTCTTACTCTCCAGCAATTGTTGGAGGGAGTATGGAGGAGGTTATGAGAAATCTTTTAGTGGGTGTTTCTGAAGTTCTCTCTACGGCCTCCTTTCCCTTTTGGGGAAGCAGGGACAGTGCTGGGAACTGAACCCAAGGTCTTGCTCGTTCTAGGCAGCCTCTCACTGAGCTACACTTCGGTCTTGGTATTTTTCTGAGCCAATTTAATCTTAATTTGGTTCTCCAGATTTCCGCAGCAACCAGTGTTCTAGGTGAGCAAACTTCTGTCTAGCCTGTAAGATTCCATGAGCTCATATGGATTCTGTTACATAGCCTCAGTAATGATTCAGCCTGATTAGAAGTAAGGCATCCACGAAACACAAAACTATCTGATTCTCCTCAGCCAATTTGTCATCTGTTTGTAGGCGTTGTGCAAGTCATATCTCCAGAGCCATTTCCCCTAGGAATTAGGGAGGAATTGCTGCTTTCACTGATACACACATTTGCACTGCCACAGCCTGTGGCACACTGATTTGTTCCAGTTAGCCTGGATAGTTTGTTTGTTCGTTTGTTTTTTTTTTTTTAAGATCTTCTGCGGTGTATACAGAACCACCAGCGGATTAACTTCAGCATCTGTGGGTAAGTCTGCACAAGGCCTCCCCTGCGTTCTTCCGGGCCCTGGCACGTGGTGGTGGTGCTCGGCGCTGGAACCAAAGCGTGAAGCCCGGGCGCGCAGCCAGTTTGGTGTTATGTATCTCTCCCAGCCGACTTCACCCCAACTCTCCAAGTCCGCCCCGGGTGACCCCGAGGAACTGGTGTAGGGGGCGTGTCTGGCGCGGGGCATGCCGGGCGGGCAGGTGGGCAGGTGCCTGGGCGGGGCGCGCCGTGGTTGGAGGCGGGCGGAGGGGCGGGGGCCATGCACCCGGAAGAGCGGCCCGCGGAGCTAAGGCGACAGGCGGCGGCTGGGGGCCCGACATGGACAAGCTGAAGAAGGTGCTGAGCGGCCAGGACACCGAGGACCGCAGCGGTCTGTCCGAGGTGAGCGCAGCCCTGGCAGCCAGGATTTCTTGGCCGGCTGCCCTGCTCCCCTCCCACTCGCGGCGCCGAGCTCAGCCGGGACAGTGCCACAGGTGGCAGCGCGGGGACTTTGCAGAGGGCGTGGCTCCCGATCCCTTCCCAACTTCCCCTCGGGAGGACAGGGGCTCTGGTGCGAGACCCGAGAAATCTTTGCGAGTGGAAGTGTGGGTCCCGGGGCCTCCTGGGTCCCCGGACCTGAACCCCCGCTCCTTCCCCCGCCACTGCAGCTGGACCGGCCAGGGCTCTCCCTTAGGAGCCGGGCGAGGCCGGCGGCCTTGGTGGAAGGAGCCCCTCCTGGATCACGGGCTGGCTGGCTTTGGTTGTGGGTTATGAGTTCCAGACCCGCCCTTATTCGTACTGCATAAGTAGTAGCGAAACTCCGTGAATGTCTGGTTAACAGGGACCTAGGAGGTCTCTGAGATTCCAAGGTTCATTCCTAGACTATAGATTCCCGAGCACCCCCGGAGACTGCCAGGGTGTTTGTTTTATTAGGGCTTTGATGGCTCGGAAACCTGCCCAATAAGGCCCTGTGCTCCAGAGCCACTGAGAATGTCTTATTTTAGGTGCTTTGGGAGTTTGTTTACATTTTCCTTTCTCGAAGACAGAGTTAACATTTTACTTGATGTATCCTTAGCCCCAGTTTCCCCTTCTGTGAAACAGGGGTGTTGAACAAGATGATACGACCTTTTCTCCTTGGAAACTGAGTTCCTCTCTAATATTTACTTGTGTTTCTCGTGGTTTTCCCAACATTCTGCTCTCACTTTTGTGGTTGATTTTGTTCTGAGTTTAGTCTTTGCAAAAACACACTTCAACGGGAATAAGAGTTTATTTTGAAGCCAAATAGAGCGACCATGGCCTCAGGGCAGATTCCGATGACTGCAAATTCAGTATTCCAACATAACAGTTGGATGCATTTTTATAGTAACAAAGTAATAAATCAAGGAACTTGCTAAGTGTATCAGTGGCAACACTAAGTAGGCGGTTACGGCAAAGTGGCAGAATCTCAGTTGTAGGATCTCCCTTGGCTACTCTAAAACCCATGGATTGTGGAAGCTTGGGTTTCATTAAGTTAAATTCCAAGTTGTTTTTACCTGTTAGTCACAGGTGCCCACGATATGACTGTTTAGGGGGAGCTAAAGAGAGCTGGAGTTTAGTTGCGATCAGACTCTGGACCTGCAACTTTCCAACCTCTCCACAATCATTAGGATTAGAATCAGTAATTTTTATGTTTAAAAAAAATTTCATTTATTATTTCTGGCTTCTTGTGAACTTTCCTATGAGATGAAGCCTAAGAAAGCCTCAGGACTTAGTTGACCCTCATTGTCATGTAAAGATAAGCTTCATAGAAGTCCACAAGCTGTTGCACAAAGTTGGGGCTGAAGCGGAGACTGGGCATAATGTTGGCAGTAAGTGTTCTTCATCTGTAGCAGTGGGTGGGCCTTTGGGAGTGAATAGTGTAGCACCATTTGAAAACAAATGCAAAGTTTCCCCCCCAAATCGTGAATGCCTGTGTGGAAACAGTGAAAGGCTTTTCCCTCCTCTTAAGCCCAGGCACATATTACATCTATTTTTAAAAGAGTGTTGGCTTCACTCTTGTTGGAAAACATTGTCAGTTTCCTCTTTCCTGGTAAGATTCCTGTTGATGTGCGTCATTCTGTGGCATTTCCAGGTCTTGAACTCCAGGAACTGTTCTGTAGCCAATAGGGTTCGTTGTCAGGGGTGTTTTGGCTTCCTGATCACTTACTAGGTCCGGCCTCCTTTTAAGTACTAACTAATGTGGGCACACTTTCCATGTTTGAGCCTGGAGAAACTGGAGGATTCTGTGGTGAAGTTCCTGTTTGTGTGGTTAGTTGGATGATGTTGCCTTCAAGTCTTTTCAGTTATATAACCCGAAGAGGTTGCCAGAGAAGTTCGAAAACATTTTATAATGTATTTTAATGCCAACTGTAACAGTATGTTTTGTTTCTTCTGTCCCTCCTAGGTAGCTATAAAGTTGGTAGAACTCTTAGTCACCGTCTATGCTAAGTCTTCTAATTGATACGCTGTCATCATAAACACCCTTAAGTCCTGGTTTCAGCGAGTCCTTTCTGAAAGAATAAGCTTTATGTTTTCTGGAAAGGGTTCTTGGGACAAGGAAGGTCTGAAGGGTGTCTAATCATAACGTGCAGGAATACAACAGCGTTCCTTCTCACCTCCTGGTTGCCAGCCCCACCTTCCTGGATAATCCTTAGCTCTGGCCCTTGGCAAGAACCCCTCTGCCTTCTCCATCCTGGAGTCAAAGGGACCTTTGTGTGTGCCTGCCAGTCAGGCAGCTTGTGATTCCCCACATTCCCTACACAATCTACCCAGGTACTGTTTTAACTCTTTTGATTTTGGAAACAAACTCTGTGCTAGCAGAGTTTCCAGAAACTACAGCTTAGAGAGAGATTTTCCATCAACTGAATTTGCTTTCATAAAATGGCAAAAAGTATTTTCCTTTCACTGAATCTGTTTAGAAGTTGAGCAAAAGCTTCCTCCTCTTTCCTTGACCAAGTGACAGAACAGACATATAGTGGGAAACATGGTGAATTATCCCTGCTCCCACCCTATGTCCCCCTCCCTGCTAAAGAAAAGGTAGCATTTAGATGGGTTCATCTTACGACATTTGTTGAACTGGTGTCTGAAGGTAAAAAGCAGGACCATGCTTTTTGGCAAAAATGCTTTCTCTTGCCAGTGATTTTATTTTATTTTTCTTTTTGGTTTTTTTGAGACAAGGTTTCTCTGTGTAGCCCTGGCCGTCCTGGAACTTGCTCTGTAGACCAGGCTGGCCTCGAACTCAGAGATCCACCTGCCTCTGCCCCCTGAGTGCTGGGGTTGTTTGCCACCACCACTGCCCGCCTAAATAGCCAGTGCTAGTCTCCCAGTCCATGGGACTCAGACCCAGTCTCCCACAGGACAGGCAGGGATACTCAGCACTGTACTAATGAGGATGACTGTCTCTTGCCAGTGATTTTACTGTCTACAAAGGCACGAGTCTCAGTATCTTGCTCTGACTCTGGAATGAACTTTGATACTTTGCAGTTCATCCCCCTAAACAGGAAAAAGGCTGGACTTTTTGAGTACGGCTGTTGATGCTGGTGACCCTCAGGCAGATTATTCGCTGCTCTGGTCCTCTTCTCTTCCTTTCCCTGGCCTGGTTCTTTCTACCTCGGCAAAGTACATGCCTGACTGGAAGAGTGGGAGCTGCTCATTGTCTTTTGCACTTGGGAGATGACATGGGTTAGTCAGAAGAGGTCTAACTTGATTGGCTAGGGCCCGGTAAAGCCTGGCAACAGCATCCTCTGGTTACTTTAGGGCCAGGGGGATTGGAACAGTCTCTTCAAGGTGGACAGGTGGCCTCTGCTTGGAAACACAGGGCTCAGTTGTCAGGTCCTGACATTGTGGTGCATGCCCTCCTTCTCTTTTAATATACACATATATTAAATGTGTGGATTATATATGTTAAATATAAGGAATGAATATATACACACACACATATGTGGAGAGAGAGGTTATAGTTACATCGTTTCCCCTTTCCCTTTCTTCCTCCCATACCCTCTCATATATCACCCTCCCTCCCCCTTGCTCTCTTTCAAATTCATGGCCTCTTTTAGTTGCTGCTGTTGTTGTTGTTATTGTTGTGTGTGTTTTTACTAAATACATAAACACCACCTGCTCAGTACATAATGATACTTGTATGTCTATGTTTTTGGGCTGACCATTTGGTATTGGATAACCAGTGCGTGTGCTCTTCCCTGGGGAGGACTGTTTCTCCTGCTCCCAGTATTCCTTAGTTGTCTGGAGTTGTCTACTTTTTCCCTTTCACATTAGCATGTCTGTTGGTGGTGTCCTTGTTCAGCTCATGTTTAGGCAGCTGTGTTAGTGAGATTTTTGAGGGTGTAGCTCCCGACATTTCTAGGAGACTCCCTGTTCCCCGGGCTTTTAGAGTTTTTCTGCCCCCTCTTCCACGGTGACCCCTGAGCCTTAGATGCTGGAGTGGTGTCATAGATGTGTCTGTTGGGACTGGGCTCCGACTCTGCATTTTGATTGGTGTGGTTTTCTGTAGTGCTCTCTGTCTCTTGCAAAGAGAAGTTTCCTTGATGAGTGAGGACTACACTTACCTGTGGGTATAAGGACAAATATTTGGAATGTAGTTAGAGACTGCTGCATGCCCCCTTTTTGAGGTGCTGGAGAGGGAACCCAAAGTCTCGCTCATGCTAGGCAAGTGCTGTACCTCTGAGCTACACCCCTAGCCCAGCCCAGCCCTAACTGTGCCTTCTCTTCAGGGTCTTTCTCTGTGCCAGGTTTCTGCAGGTGCTCGGTGTGTCTGTATGTGTGACATTACAATGTCACAGCGACTCTATGGAAGTGGAGAGAGAGCCTTTTTGATGACCCGAATTCCTTTCTTCTGGGTGGGGAACGGACCTTTCTGCACAGTACTTGTCACACCTAGGGAGCCTCATGGTCTTTTCTTCCAGCTTCTGGTTTGACAGGTTAGAAACTCGTCATTGAACCGGGGCCAGTCAGGGCCGAGGGAGTGGTCCTGCTCCCCTACCTTCCTCCATCTGTTGGGTGACAGTGTAGGAGGCAGCCTTCCTTACTCTGCGAGGCTGTGCTGCCTACGGAAGGGGAGCTCGGGTGTACAGATGCTGACCTGGCTCTGCCGATTGGGTTTGATCTCTCAGTGGCAGCTTCCTGTGTCCATCTGTGGGCAGTGAGCCCCCTTGCATCTTAAGGACAGTCTAGGAAGGCCTATGGTACAGTGGTTTGTCGTCTCTGACATGGGGAAGGGCCATGGAGATCTGCTCTCCAGCTTTTCTGCTTTAGTAGTTCTCCAGGAAATTTCGGCTTCCCTTGGACTTAACCTGGAAGAAGCATTAGTCATGCCAAGGATGGTAGAGAGTCGAGATGAGTGGGTAGTGATTGATTAGCTAAGATCTGGCTGACTGTGGCGGATTGGCTGTTGCTAGCACGGTGTAAGTAAGAATAAGTAGCAGGGATGCATCCTGAGAAGTTTGAGGGCCTTCTCCCTCTGAGGTGCCGGAAGTGTTGCAGCAACTTCTGCGGGTGGTCGGAGAGATAAGAGAACAAGGCCGGTGGACCAAACTGCCTTAGAGTCTGGTCCTTGTCTTCTCCCGTGACCCAGGCCCTGTCCTGTGACCCAGGCCCAGGCCCTGTCCTGTGACCCAGGCCCTGTCCTGTGACCCAGGCCTTGTCCTGTGACCCAGGCCCTATCCTGTGACCCAGGACCTATCTGGCAGAACCCTGCCCTTCCATTCTGCCTGGGCTGCAGTAAGGCTTTGGGCTGTGCTAAGGTTAGCCTCCCTGCCTGTGTTTGAAGCAGGAGATGCAGTAAACTTCTCTAAGCTGCTGGAGGGAAGAGTCAGGTCGATAGGAGTTCACAGCTCTGCTAAGAGCTGGATGTGATGGTTAGCTGTGAGTGTGTAAGCTTCCATGTTTCTTTCCTGTGTGTGTGTGTGTGTGTGTGTGTGTGTGTGTGTGTGTGTGTGTAAGTGCAGGTGGGCAGCACTCGTGTGGAAGCCAGGGGTCAGCCCGCAGGACTCCTCTCCTGCTTCCTTTCTGTGGTTTCCGGTGATGGAATGTACGTCCTCAGGTCTGCACTCCGGACCCCTTTGCCTGCTGAGCCATGTCGCCAGCTCTAAGTACCGTTTCTCTTGGTCCTTAAGACCATTTCCTAGTTAATTGTGAGTCTTCTTCATTTTCCGTAAATGTATGTATGCAATTGGTGTTTTGAAACTGCAGGTTGTGGAGGCGTCGTCCTTAAGCTGGGGCACCAGAATAAAAGGCTTCATCGCATGTTTTGCCGTAGGAATCCTCTGCTCATTGCTGGTAAGAGTTCCTTCCATACTTCCTGATTCTCGGCTCTATTCTTTTCCTTTTGCCTGCTTTTCTCTTTGCTGCTTCATGAAATTGAATGGTTGAGGTGGGGGGGGGGGGGAGAGATAGGAGGCCGGGAGGGCAGCTGTGTGGCTCTGGTGGGCGTGGCATTGCTGTGCTCACATGTCCTGTGCTTCCCGTTCTAGGGTACTTTCCTGCTGTGGGTGCCCAGGAAAGGACTGACCCTCTTTGCGGTGTTTTACACCTTGGGGAACATGGCATCAATTGGGAGGTAACCTTTTCCTTTTCTCCTTTTCCCAACCTTGCTGTTTATTGGATGATAAAATGTCCATCGTATTTGAGGGAGGAAGAAGAAGGATGCTTCGTACCTTTAAGGAGTTGGGAAGAAGGAGGAGTTTTGGCATGTATCACGTTCATATCCTCTTATTGCAAAACATCCTGTGTCTTAGTTTATCTTTCGCCCCTGGGAGAGGGCAGAAAACGGGTCACCACTTCTTCACCTGTGAGGGAACCACAGCACAAAGCATGGGGATGGTTTCCCCGAGGCACACAGTACGGCCAACCCTCCTGTGTTGGTTTCCCTGTCCTCAGAGACTGGCTGCAGCTGCTGCTTCTGACAGCCACGGGGTGGGCGAGGGACTGTGCGCCTGGGACGTGGTTACTGTGTAGTGCCGGACCATCCTGGGCTTGAGGACCAGGCTCCTGTGTCAGGGCATCTGATGGGTGCCCTCCAGGGGAGGTTAGCCGTTCTGCCCGCTTCAGGTGCACAGGTAGCTCCAGTCAACCACCTCCACCTGATGCTTCAGGCACACCTGTGCAGACAATGCCAGGCCTGCCTCTGGTGGGAAATGCTCGCCTGGCCCTATCAGAATGGACTTCAGGAACCCGACTGGGCCATCTTTCCTTCCCTGTCCCTCTCCCCCGCCATGTTTCTATAAATGACTTCAGAGTCCCGTGGGGAAAGGGTCCAGGAGTACAAGTTTTCCGCTGTTAACTCAGCCATAATAACTCAGTTGTTGTATTTCTTTTTTTTTTAAATATTTTTCTTTTTTTGTATATGAGTCTTTTGCCTGCATGTGTATCTGTTTGCCACACATATGCCTGGAGCCTGCGGAGGTCGGAAGAGGGCACCAGATCCCCTGGAACTGGATTTAGATACAGTTGTGAGCCACCATGTGGATGCTGGGAATTGAACCTTGGTCCTCTGCCAGAGCAGCCAGTGCTCTTAACCACTGAGCCATCTCTCCACCTCCTCTGTTGTCTTTTTTACTTGGCGTTCTTCCTTATCCCTGTGGCCATTTATCCCCACTGATTGATTTTGGAGTCATTGGGTAAGTCCTGTCGCCTCTGCTGGACTCAGAGACTACAAAAGACAGGCACACTGGATCTCTGTCGCCAGCGAGGCAGTGAGACATGGACCAGTGTCACAGCAGATAATGTGCAGAGAGGCTCTGTAGATGTAACCAACCGTCTTATTAAATAAGAAACACAGAGCCGATTCAGAGAAGAAAGCCAAGAGGTCAGAGCTAAGAGCCTCACCCTTCCTGCTTCAGCGATCCTCTTCAGTCAAGAGAGCTCTCCGAAAGGGAGCTACTTCCTGTGTGTTTGTCTTTATAGCCTTTCTGTTCTGCCTTCTCATTGGTTGTAAACCCAAACACATGACTGCCTCTGTAGAGACTTCCAGGTCTTCTATGGTTGGGATTGAGATTAAAGGCGTGTGTCTCCAATGCTGGCTGTGTCTTTTTACACACAGAGATCTACCTAGCTCTGTCTACCAAGTGCTGGGATTAAAGGTGTGCACCACCACCGCCACACTCTTGCTATGGCTCTAATAGCTCTGACCCCCAGGCAACTTTATTTATTATTATACAATTAAAATCACATTTCAGTACAAGTAAAATACCACCACAAGGCTCTGCGAGGGCTGACCTGACAGCGGGTCGGGGACGGCTTCCTAGCAAAGGTGGTACCTGGACTGCTCTCAGCTCTTGTCCATCTCCTCCTGCCTCAGCTACTCTGTCATATTCTGTTGGGTTGCCACACCCCCTTTTTGCCCCCCTCCAGGCTCTTTTCTTCTGAGCTATGGGACCTTCGTATGAGCCCCCCATGTGGCTCCCTGCCCCCTCTCTGCAGGTGGAATCCAGACTTGGTGCTTCTTCCCAGGCCAGTCTCTCTGTCTGTGGTCCTGCCCATCTCTGCTCCCCACTTGTCATTTGTTAAATCCTGCCTCTAATGTCACCTCTTGTGTGAAGCTCTGCTGATCACCACCTCCTTCCTGGGACTGGTGACCTTCTCCTCCAGGGTTCCTCCTGTCCCATTTATATTTACTGCCAGCATGGGTAGCAGTGACTGATGTTGCCCTTGAAGCTTTCTCAGGTACTAGCTTTTGTGGGTTTGCCTTGGGGCCCCCAGTGTGGGTTCAGTGTACAGAGTGAGCGTAATTACACAGATCTGTTGCTTACTCCAAAAGAACTCTTTAGCAGTCTTGATGGGACAGACTCCATAGCACAGCAGCGGGAAACAGTGGAGGGCACGTTGTTATTTCATGCTGTTACTAGGAGTTTCTGACTTTACACAGATTTCTATTCATACACGTGTGCCTTGAGTCTGCTGCTTACTCTGTTTGGTGAAGAACCTCTGAGCTTGGAGAGTTGAGCTCAGAAAACAGCCTAACTTCAAAGAGGGGCAGACATATTGTCAACAACAAAAAACAAAACACAAAACTGCGCCTTTCATTGAGTGTTGGTAGTTAATGACATCTGCTGTCACTTGTATTGAGTGCCAACTGTAAGGAGCTCCCACTGTTTGTCACTTGGGCTGCACTTCCTTGCGATCCAGAGAGCGTGGCGAAAACCTGGTGCCTGTACTTGATGTGGTTGGTAGGTGTGTGTATCCACTCACTTGTCATCACTCCCCTTAGCCGGCCTCCAGTTTCCTTCATACAGATTCACTCTAAGGGTGCCTTTAGGACAGATGGGTTAAGCACTGGCTCTTTGGATCCTGAGCTGTGTGATCTCAAATAGGTAAGCTCATCTCTCCCTTTCATAGCTCTGAAATAGGAACAGTGACAGCCATCTCAGAGTCGTTGAGGGGCCGAGTGAGTGCTGTATGTACACCTGACATTTAGCAAGCATCCACCTCTAGTAGATGCTGCTCTTACCATCATTAAAATTCCTGGAGAGTATGAAAGCAGAGAAGTGTTCGTGTTTTTTGTTTCATAAATCTGAGCTCTTGGTTTGTTTCTGTGGGTAGGTAGTCAAGGACACAGAGTCACCCCTCTCAGAGAGAGGGCGATGTGAGTGATTCCACAGTCAGACCCAGGTGCACTTACGGCCCTGCTCTTCTATTAGTGGGGTGACCTTGGTTATGTAACCCCTTGGGCTTTCTCCTCCTCTCTAAAATGAATGTCCTAATTGTCCCTACTTCATAGGTCCTTGATGGATTAAATGAGGACAGTGCACAAAAGGCCTGCAAGGCCAGTGCCTGGCAAGAGCCGCTCGTACTAATGCTGTTCCTGTTTTCGTCACAGGAGCTCTTGGGGAGGTGGCTGGTGCCCCTCTGCTCTGCCCCTAATGGCTCCTGTGTGTGTTTGCCTCTTAGTACCATCTTCCTCATGGGGCCAGTGAAGCAGCTGAAGCGCATGTTTGAGCCTACGCGTCTCATCGCCACCATCCTGGTGCTGGTAAGGACAGACGGCTTGGGAGGTGGGAGCCTGTCCTCTCTTTCCCTTTTTAACCCTGGGGAATTAAACATGTTCTCAGGCATACGGGGCTTCGTAAGTTGTCCAGGCTGGCCTTGAGTCTACTGTCTGCTTGCCTCACTCTCCTGAGTGCTGTGATTGCAGGCATGAACTGCTGTGTACGGCTGAAAGGTTTTCTTTCTCTCTCTTTTCTTTCTTTCTTTCTTTCTTTCTTTCTTTCTTTCTTTCTTTCTTTCTTTCTTTCTTTCTTTCTTTCTTTCTTTCTTTCTTTCTTTCTTTCTTTCCTTCCTTCCTTCCTTCCTTCCTTCCTCCCTTTCCTTCCTTCCTTCCTCCCCTTCCTTCCTTCCTTCCTTCCTTCCTTCCTTCCTTCCTTCCTTCCTTCCTTCCTTCCTTCCTTCCTTCTTTCTTGCTTTTCTCTGTGTAGCCCTGGCTGTCCTGGAACTCACTCTGTAGGCCAGGCTGGCATTGAACTCACAGAGATCTGCCTGCCTCTGTCTCCAGAGTGCTGGGATTGAAGGTGTGTACCACCATCACCTGGTTTTATTTCTATCCCATCAACACAGACTATCTCTTTCTTTTTTTGACCCAGTTATCCATGTAGCTGTCAAAATCTTTCCAGACCCCATTCTCATAATTATCAGTATTGTGAGGTTTGAACTTGATTGGCATACTTCTAATTTTAGTTTAGTTTGTGGGTCTCCCATTCATTCACACAAGAATGTTCTCTATGGCCATGACTGTGTTTGCTGTTTATTTACATCCTTTCAGATGTCAGCGCAGTGCTGGACACAGAGTGTTTAGGTCACACTGATTAAGGGATGATAGAGGAGTATGAAGAAAGGTATGGAAGGTGGCGGGAGCAACCACTGTTTTTTCCAGCTTCAGATGTAGATGGCCTGACAGCTCTGTAGTGGAAAGACTTTCTAAGAAAGGGCACAGGGCAGTGTCAGGTGACAGGTGAACAGACAGCAGGCTTCCTGGCTGTGTGAGTGACATCTCATGGTGACCTTTGTTCTCACGCACCTTTTCTACTCCAGAGCTAGGTCACAGAGAGAGGTTGGTGGCCAGCTTACTCTTGTGTCTTGAATGAAAAGATTGATGAGTGAATGACCAGTCCAGAAAGGTGCTTTCATTTGCCGACATTTAGGGAGAACTTAAAATAGAAGCACGGCTTTCCCTTTCCAGTCTGCGTGTGTTTTTATTGTTGCGTTGGATTTCTTCTCCCGACACGGTCCTTCAGGTGGGTTAAATGCTTTGAACTACATTGTATTAATTAGTGTTTCCTCTTCTTCTAGCTGTGTTTTGCACTTACCCTGTGCTCTGCCTTTTGGGTAAGTGTAAACTCTAGTCTTCTGTGACCTTTTTGGTTTAGATTTAGATCCCTTGTCACACTTTCCAGTAACTGTGTCCTTTTTTTTTCCCCCAGTGGCATAAAAAGGGGCTCGCGCTCATCTTCTGCATCTTGCAGTCCTTGGCCTTGACCTGGTAAGCAGCATCAGTGTCCCTCCCCCACCCCCAGCCCTGCCTTTGGCTTGTGGAGGGAAAGGAGAGAAAACCCGTGTGTTGTGGGTGGGAAGGTTAGGAGAACACATACGCTCTTGAGTTAAAGAGTTGTCAGTAAAGCAGCAGAAGTCAAGCTTCAGAGGCCAGCCAGTTGACTCGGCCCACCGCCAATAGATGCCATTAGCGGTCTTGAGTGCTCACCAGAGGCCTCGGGCCACAGCGTTTTTGCTGAGCTCACGGTCAGTTGTGAGATGTACACATATTACTCAGCTACTCATGTCCGGTAAGTGCGAGGACAATGAAGGTATTATAGAGGCTGGTAAAAAGAGGCCAGGACTCAAATAGACACATCCAGAAGAAGGATGCTGCTGAGAAAAGCAGTGATTGTGATGGGGTGACCATTCCGTAGAAAGATGAAGAGGGCATTGTCAGCTGAGCTGAGGGAGCAGTAGCTAAGGAAATGAAAACCCGTGTGGATGTGGGCTCAGCATCCTCACTGGAGGTGGGCCGGCTTTGGGGAATTTCAGGTGAAGGTTAGGAAATTGTAACTCAGAGGCCAAGTGTAGTAAAAGGGTGACCACAGGCACGACTTTTTAAAACCATGAATGGAACTGTAGATTCTTGGTTATTTAAACCTGTGTTTAACATCCAAGGGAGAGGTGTGGTGGAATGTATCTAATCCGAGGCATTTCCGTGTGACTTTGAAAGTTTCATCCATGAGTTAGGATGTCCGCCAGAATGGTTTCGGTACAGTGTGACTAGTCTATTTGGGATAAAAATGTCTGCCAGGATCCAGAGAAAAGGGAGGCTGTGGGCATTTAAATAGACTTCTCCTGGCCAGTGAACAGCTAGTTAGTAGAAGTGGGTCTTGGGAATGTAAGCTGGATGCCATCTTCCTTTTGGAACTTTGACTTTCTGAAGAAATACCCTTGTCAAACTGCTGCCTCAGACTTGACCATGCTCACAAGTTGAGCATGGGCGCGTGGAAAGTGGAAGGTATGGAGGAGAATGATGGCCTGGTTTCAGTGAGACACATTTTGCCAGTGGATACTACAAGGGCCTGGCTTGATGGCTTGTGTTTCTGGTGTGGCCTTCTTCTGGGTGCAGAAATTGGTACCTTCATATACACAGCTCTTTTGCAAGCCTCCAAGAAGTCAGCGTTCCTCTGGCTCAGGAAAATGGTGGCTCCCTTTGAACTGATGCTGCCCTTTGCTTCTCTTAAGTCTGACTGACTTACACTAGGGCAGGTGTCTCTCCCCTGCATAGTTTCTGTGTAGGCGGTATGGCTTGGGTTCTTGAAGCATTGCACCACGGTGCATTCTCATCTATAGAATGGTAGGTTGTGGCTTTTTTTCTTTTAATTAGTGGGAGCAGATAGAAAATTCATGTCACCTGGGTTGAAGTGAAATTCTCCTGAGAACTTACAAAGCATTAGATCACAACTGATGAGGATTTTATTTGCAGTTTCTGCACGTAGGACTCTGGTGTTGTATGGGCTTCTGGAATCTGCCTGTTTTAGTGGTCACTGCTGGCTCATGTGGTTAAGGAGTACCACAAGCAAGGCTGGGGTCAGAGGGGTTATTGTTATACAGGCCTTTTGCAGTCCTCTCTGCCACGTAGCTACTTACAGGGCCGAGTTTTTATGAGATGTGTGAGTACATACGGGTCGGGATAAATCACTGGGTGCTCTTCTAGCCTCGGGGGCTTCCTGCTGGGGAATTTTCCACTCCATTCAATTTGATCTTGCTGTTCTTTTCTTTGTAGGTATAGCCTTTCCTTCATACCATATGCAAGGTAAGACGAACTATGTGCTTAGAAATAGAGATTCTTTGATTTGTGAACCATGATGTGTTTATATAGGACTTTTAATTCTTAAAAGATCTATTTATTCTTATTTTAATGTGTATTTTGCCTGCATGTATATTTATCTACCATGTGTGTGCATTCCTTGTGCGGGTTAGAAGAGGGTGTTGAATCCCCTGGAACGGAATTAATAGACGGTTGTTAGCTGCTGTGTGGGTGTTGGGAATTGAACCTGGTTCCTCTGGAAGAGCAGCAAATTCTTTTAACCACTGAGCCATCTCTCTAGCTCCTGCATATGGACTTTAATTTGGAGATTTTAGTTTGGTTGCAGGAAGCACATGTTATTTTATTTATCAGTACTAAAATTCTTTGAGCTAGTTAGGCACAGGTCATGGATCTACTTTATAGATTACTGTGATAAGATTGGTTCTCCTGATCTCATTATTCAACTAGTGATGTGTTGGCCAGACTGTAAGTTCCTGGTGTTTGGGGCGTCTACTCTAATAGAAAGTGCATTGATACTCATTAGTATTCCTTTAATTTGTAGCTTTGAGGTGATGGGGGTCCTTAGTGCATGCCTGTTTTCTTACAGGGGCTCACTCAGGGAAAATTTCAGAAGGGTCTAGAGGGAAAGCAGGGCCAGGACTCCCGAGGACCAGCACTTCCTAGTCAGCAGTGTGAGCTTGGTGACTTTATTGACCATCAAGACCTCAGATGAGACTTTGATAAGTGGAGTGGGTATGGCTGGCTTATCCCCAGTGGCTGGGAGTTTGTTAATTAACCACTTTTGATGGTGGACTTTTCCCAGTTAGTCACAGGACCTCTGCCTCTGATTCCATTCTAGCGAAGCTACTTAACTTTATTCTTCTCGGTCATCTACTAAATAAAAATATTTAGTAGATCAGATCTCCTGCTGACAGTGATTTGAATATGTTAGGGAGTGAGCCAACAAGCCCAGAAAGCTTACCTTTTTGTGCATGGGACATAACAGGAGTATAATAGCTGTGAATACTGCCTTTGGGGCAGGGAGGAACTTATCCTGAGAAAAATATGGGCAGGGATTTCCCCAGGAGCTAGCTTGCTATACGAAATAAGCCAAGGTCTGCTATATTTGAGCATCTATTATCTCTTTGACAATAGTTTGACCGTATTTGTAGGTCTTTAAACTACCTACATAATTTACTGGGCCCAGCACAAGATGCAAATGTGGGTTCCTCCTTTTAAAGTGATTAACAATTTCAAGATACAGCACTACAGAGATGGCTCAGTGATTAAAAGCACCGGCTATTCTTCCAGAGGACCTGGGTTCAATTCCCAGCACCCACATGGTAGCTCACAACTGTAACTCCAGTTCCAGGGGATCTGATACCTTCATACCAATGCACATAAAATAAAATTAAATAAATTATTTTTGAAAAGAAATTTCAAGATAGTGACATTAAGGCATTAGACTAGAGTGGACCTTTCTAAGAGCCTCATGTAGCCCCAGTTACCCAGGAAACTGGACTTGGGTTCCGAATTGATCAGGATGGGTGTGGACGAGTGATGGAAACATTATAATTCTTTTTGAACCATTGAGTTTTTGTGTTGAGCAGATGGGTCTTTCCTCTAGTAGGGAGGGAATCACAGAGTGAGTTCTGAGTCTGGCTTCTAGAATAGCTTTCTCTAGTTTCCACAGAACAGATTATACAGCTGAAAAGGTTCTAAGACCAAGTGAGTTTGTAAACTAGGTTAAGCAAAATGAGGTGGGCTCTGGCCAGCGTTCTCCGTCCCTCAGTGTGCTGTGTGGCCTGTCAGGAGGGGATCGATTTTGACAGTAAACCCCCTTACCTTACTTTCAGAGTACTCCTGGGACTTCAGCATGCAGCAGACCTGGACAAATCCTTCATTAGAGTCTTTTTAAATTAAAACAAAACAAAAAAAAAGACACATTCTCTTATGTAGCCCATGTATGCCACAAATGTACAGTCCTTTGCCTGAGCTCCCTGAGTGCTGGCATTACAAGCATGTATCACCATGCATGGCTCCTTGATGGCTTTTGATGCTCAGTTCATTGCCTGCTCAGGTACTTGGGTTCACTCACCTCATGTGACCCTCGAGTCCTTAGTACCTGAACACCGAGAACACAGTATCAAACCTGGAATGGGGCGAGGGTGAGAGCTTCGGGGTTCCTTCCTACAGACAGGTGTAGTGGTGGGAGAGAAGAGGTCTGCTTGGACAGATAAGCTATCTGCTGAGCACCCACTCAGTGCTTCCCTGAGCTACACTGTGTCCCAGACACTAAGTGAGCCTGTTAGTAATGCTCAGTGCCTGTACCCAGCTGCCTGTGGCAGGGAGTTCTTGGAGGTGTTCCTTCACAGTCTTCTGCTGCTTCCTGGTGCTGTGGCCCTCGTGACCACACCTGAATGATGTCAGTGTGTTCTGTGATTGACTGATGTAAAAATGCAGCAGCATGTACTAGTCCCCAGGATCAGTCTGCAAGATAAGTGGGCACATCACATTTAACAGATGAGGAATTTAAAACTCCAGCATGACCAGTAATGTGCCCAGGAGAAAACTGCTAAGATACATTGGCACTGCCGTTTGATGACTGGTTCTGACCTCGCCCTTTTCGCCTTCAGCAGCATGGTACCCTGGGAAATGCTCAAGAAAGATCTTGCCATTGGGAGCCCTTGGAGTGATAACATACCATTCATCTCCGTGTTTTTCCTTCCTAGGGATGCTGTGAAGAAGTGCTTTGCTGTGTGTCTTGCATAGTACACTGCCAGTCTGCAGAGAGCACCGTGGACTGAAGCTGGTGGACAGTTTTGTAAATACCCTCTCAACTCTGTCTCACAGACATGTGCCTTTAACTTGCAGCAATGTGTTGCTTGCAATTTGGACATTTTTGAGGGTTGCCGTGGGAGCAGTCATGAATCCTAAACCCTAATGTCTGCAGCACAATGTGGGGTTCTGTGGCTAGTGTGGGGGACTCTTCCTCATGACCATTTTCCTCTCTGGATGGTTTCAATCTTTGTTTAATCATAGCAGCAGATAAGCCCCAGGAGCCACTGATTCCCAGGCCACAGCAGGAGGGTCTACAGAGATTATAGGAATGCAACAGGACGTGCAGAATTTTGCTGAAGATTTGCCCCTCACCAAGGAAACCGTTGTCACTGCCTCACAGAGCGTCTTCCCTGGTGTTTGAGAACAAGTGATCTCCTAAGCCCCTGGAGATCCTGCCCTGGATACATTGTTCCTTCCTATGGATGCGCCATCTTGCTCTTCTCAATCACGACTGGCTATGGAACGTGTTTTCTGGTATTCAGTGTGGATTCTTTCTCTTGTTCTCACCCTCCCACGTCTCTTGTCTTGTGACCTTGGGCCACTGCTTGATTGAGAGTGAAGTAGTAGCCTAAAGTACTCTTTCCTTCTGGACAAGAGCCACCAGAAAGTGAAAAACCTTCATGTTCCCTGCTCTGTTTATTTTTCTTCATTATTTATAAACGTTTACTTTTATTGATTTTATTTTCCGTTCTTCGCTGGAGTTGGGCCAAAGAAAGTGCATGGGAAGACCGATCCCTTGTGGGGCCAGCAGGAAGTAGGTAGGCATGCCTGCCAAGCAACTTCTCAGTGCTCCGGCATTGGCACTCAGCCTGTGCTGGCCACTGGAAAGACACCAGCCTGCAGGTGGTCATGTCTCAACCTGATGCCTAACCACACACACAGTGTTCTTGTGTTGTTGATCTTCTCTGGTCCTCATGAGAGCCCTGCGAGGAAGCAGGATTGTTGTCTCACTGTGTAGTCGAGGGACCGAAGCTCAGATGGGTTTCCATGTCACCTGAGGCTCCAGCTGTGGCAGGGTCAAGCCAGAGTCTGGATGTCTCACTTCCAATCTCCGTCATGATGACATGACTCTGGTTAAACCTGCCATCATCTCTCATAAACCTTTCCTTGTTTTCATCATCCTAGCCTGTACCTTTTCAGGTTTCAGCATCTATGTTACCTGTGTCCTCTTCCACCTGCTCCCCCATCTCAGTTTTCACAAGCTTCCCTCTGCATCTGAGTATGGTCATCCCACACTGAAAGGGAACCATCCCGTGTTGAAAGGGAACTGCTCTGTGCTTCCCGGGCATCATCAGAGTTCCTGGTAATCTAGGTTTACCCTCCGCTCTTTGTGCAAGGCCAGATCTACTCTGGTCCCTGCCTTGCCACCTCCAGACCAAAGGCAGTGAGAGCTCCTCTCTTTGGTTGTGGCCAGTTGCTGAACTGTGGCTAATAACTCTGCCTTTTCTTCTGAGATGGAGAAGAATGGATAAGCTTATTAGGGAAAGGGCAGCTCAATCAGTCCAGATTCTTTCCCTGCTGTTGAAGGCACCTGTGAGGTCTTCAACCTGTCTTCAGTCAGGAAGGAAAATCATATGCTATCCTCTGGCTTTGTGAGGCACAATCATATCCGAGGAGCTTTGGGAATCAGTTCAGGTCTCAGAAGTGCTCAGTGTCAGAAGGGGCATGGAGAGTTTAGGGGTGCACATGGTTTCTTGCTAACCCAAGCCTAGGCTAGTTGCTTCAAGTTCCAACTATCCTGGAGTCATGCACGTAAATGAGGCTGACCCCTCCATGCCCTTTTCAGTGACTGGACTTGAGTCCAAGTACCTCTTAAAGATGTTAGAAGGGCTGAATAGCATAGCCGTGTGAATGTGGGCTTAGAAAACAAGCAGGTCTGGGTATGAGCTGTGGTCCAGTCACATGTTGGTTGAGTCTTTTGAAGTTGCTTAATGTTTGGTTCCTCAATTTCTCTGTTTCAAATAGCAGGCTGACAAATGGTGCTAGGTCGTTGGAGGATGCCAGTGAAAGATGACTGGATCAAGTGCTTGGTCTGGGGCCCAGCAGAGATCTCTACAGTAACTCCTAAATGTGACAGGCTGAGTGTTTGGCCATTAATTTGTCTAGCGTACTTAATACTGTGTGTATTGCTGTAGACTCTACCATACATTATCTCATTCAATGGTCACAGGGACTGCCAGGCAAGAGATACTGCCTTTATCATCATGAAGTAGTAGCTGCTTCAGATGCTGTCACCAGCAGGGATCAGTGAGGAGGCTCTAGGTAGGGGATGATATCCTGGATAAAAGGCTTTTGGGCCTAATTCCTACAGCCTGTGGCCTTTTGTCTCAACGGCTTGACTCTGGACACATTTAAGCATCTTTTGGATGGCTGTCCTCCAGTATCTTCCAGACTCCCAGGTTATTTCTTCAGTTGCCTTATCCTTTGGTTATTTCCTTTCCTGCTTTTGCTGGACTGTGGAAGGAAGAAATCCACTTCAAATCTGCTTAAGTCTCGTACCAAGCCAATAGCATCGATTAGAAGCAACTTAGTGAGGGAGGCTTTAGCGGAGAATTAGGGCCCCTGACGCCGCCTGTTGGGGTGTCTGTCTCCTCTCCCGCGCTTCACACCCCCAGTTCACTGCCTGGTGAGGGGACACCTCTGTTTTTGGAGAGTAACGGAAACTCTTGAGTGACCTTTGTAGAGGGGAATGTGGTACTCAGTCGGGGTGTCTTTCCAGGTTTGGGGAGCCTCTGGCCTGAGTGCTGCCTTCCCTGGGCTGTGGTCTGTGGAGTGCGACACTCAGAGGACCACTGTGCCTTCTGGACCAGGAGAGTAGCTTAGGGTCCCCTTGGCTCTTCTCTACTCCAGGCTGACTGTTGGGACACTGAGGGTGGGTCCCTGCTCACTGAGTTCTGTCTCTCACAGCTGACAGGCTTTCCCTTTCACAGACTAACTTTTGTCTTCTCGAGGAAGCTTTTGTCTCTCCTGCTCCTCAGTATGACTGCTGCTCAGACCCCAGCTCCAGGCATCCTGTCTTGGGGAAGGGTGAAATACCATTCCCAGCTCAGCATTTTCACCATGGAGATTGTCTCAGTGCTGGGGTGTCTGTGTTACTCTCATGGTGACTTTGTGGATTATGTCTTAAGTGCCACCACCTTCCTTCCACATAGTCACTGTAGGCTGAGAGAGCAAGAAATGAAATCAAGAAATGCATTCCATATGAAAATTGCTTTTTAATACTCCATTAGAATAGATAATTAGCTGGGCAGCATCTGAAGCAGATGTGGAGGGCCGCGCTGGTTTATCTTGATATCCCCGTGAGTGACAAGTGCTGCAGTATTTGGGATGAGGCTTGGTGAAATGAACTGGGCAGCCAAGGTACACCTCAGGACTGTGGATTTCTTTTCCTGTGGGCACCTTATGCCCACCCTTGTGTTTACTCTACCTCTGGTGACTTCTCGTTAGAGTCATTTACACACACTTTGAATTCACAACCAAGCCTAAAACTTATTTTCAGCTAGTTAAGAAAAAAGAAAGATCAGTGTTTAAAACAGTATAAAGATGTTTGCTGGGCCTTGTGGCAGTTTTTTGTTTTGTTTTAACGTCCAAGTTCTTTTTTTTTTTTCATAAGTTTAATATGCGCTATAGCTTACAGATAACATCCTTTTTAAAAGTGAATGAACCTTAGCCGAAATTCAGTGCAAATGTACATCTGTGTAACTGAAGTTTGATTGAAAAGGTTGCTGAGGAGGTGATCTTGAAGTACCTGCCGATTCATAATTCTATGATGTTTTGAGATCTTGTGTATGGGTATGCGAGTGAAGGGGGAAGTGAAGTGGGGTTTGTTTGATCCCAGCTCACTCGGGGTGGGTGGGGGGATAGTTCTACTTGGAGTATTTCCAGTCCTGCTGTGACGGACGGTGACACTTGAAGGGAGCGACTGCGTAAGCTTTGTCGGGTTTCCGTTGCAGTGTGGCAAACGGTAAGTGGCAGAGCCTTCAGTGATGCGCTGACAACATACAGTGACGTCCATTCTAGCAGGAGCTAGTAACTGACAGCTAGGCTTGGAGGTGCGCAAAGTGAGTTTCTGCAGGTTGGCTGATCTGAAACCGAAGAGAGAAATTCGATTCAAGATGGGAGAGGTCAGCCCATGGCATCCTAACAAACAATAATCTGTGCTTTGTACTCAGAATAATGCCACTACATGGCATAGAGTGCTTGCCTAGCATGTATGGAGCCTTGAGTTCAATCTCTGGAAATGCATACATTGGCTATGGTGGTACATGCCTGTAATCCCAGCACTTAGGAAGTGGAGGCAGGAGGATCTGGAGCATATTAGACCTTATATTTTAAAAATAAGAAAAATCACTGGGTGGTGGTGGTGCACGCCTTTAATCCCAGCACTCAGGAGGCAGAGGCAGGCGGATCTCTGTGAGTTTAAGGCCAGCCTGGGCTACAGAATGAGTTCCAGGAAAGGCGCAAAGCTACACAGAGAAACCCTGTCTCGAAAAACCAAAAAAAGAAAAAGAAAAATCAAATGAAGTCTCATGTTGGGGCCCATGCACATGGCTCTTGTCTGTTAAATGTCCAACTTTTTTTCTGGCCTTTTCCATTGTGTTTGCTTAACTTGAATAAGGAAAGGAAAAAAAATAGCCCCTGAACTCTGTCCTGTGCATTTCTGTTGTGAAGTTGATAGTGAGGGTGTGCAGAAGCCTGTGATGAAGGCACACCTATCCTTGTGGCTTTGGGCACCTGGGCATGCTCCCCCAGCAGTGAAACCAAATCCAAAATGCCTATGGTGGATTTGTATGCCTTCAGAACATTGTACCTGTTCGAATACAGTGAACTTTCATGAAACAATTTTTATAATTGCGTAGGTGTAGTTGATTTTGAATGTTACTGATTGCATAACTGAATTTTTATATCCAAAAATACATTCTTGAGTACTGCCTTTTCTGTCTTGATCTATTTCATACAATGTTTTCTTTTTACTAACTTATTTCAAAGAGAAAGAGTGTTGCTAGAGAGAGCTCTCTTCCTTTCACAGTTATTTTTTTTCCTTTTTCTTTTCTCAAATAAATGGTAGGAGCATCATGATCTTTAGCAAATCTAGTATTGTCTTTTATTTGTGTCTGCTTCTCTGGGACTCACTGAACCAAACAACTATAAGATGATATCTTAGTGCATAGTACACATTGTAGGTATGTTGAGCTCCTTACCTCCCTATATGCACACACAATTGCTATATTGTCTATTTCTCAAATGAATTAGAGCTTAAAATCCATCTAAGGACCATCAGCATTGACCTCTTTCTGACAGCGAGTACAGTGTGACCAGCTAGCTACTTCTCGCTCCCACTGCCATGATTTCCCACCCCTCCAACCCTGAGCCAAAGCAAACCTGTCCTCGAGGAAGGTGCTTCTTAGCAGGTATTCTATCACATCCGTGCTAACAGGAACCAGCACACAAGACAGTGTGGCTCTTCAGAAGATCTGATTTCATCTACGGAATGCAAAGGTCCTGAAATAGGTAAAATAGGTAAAATGTCAGGTAAGATTTCCAAAGGTTGCTAGGAAAAAAGAACGACTCCGAAGGCAGGAAGAAACGAAGACCAGTTTCTGGAGAGAAAAGGGGCAATGTAAAGAGAAAGGTCAGTAAAACGGACGAGAAGATCAGAGACACAGACAGCAACGAGGAGGAAAAGTTAGTAAGGAAATTGAAAAACAGGAATCAAAACCAAAAATGTTAGAAAGGAAACCCCCCTACAAACTAAAAAACAAGCAGACCAAACAGTGGAATTGCCACAGACTGGACCAAGCGGAAGAGTGACTTGGGGATGGAGGACAAGACTGAGGAAGCCGTTGAGACAATGCTGCAGTGTCCCATAACTCAGGGTTATAATGAAGATGCCAAACCTAGGACTCTCTAGGATGAAAGAAGCATAGAGAAACACGGAAGGCCTAGAGAAACTATTCAATGAAGTTAGAGCGGAAAATCCCCAAATCTAGAGAAATAGACACCCAACCACAAGAGCTATTTAGAAAACCGTAAACATTACCAGAGAATTACCTCTGATAATAATAAAAACGAAGCAAATAAACATTAACATTAAAACCTGTGGGGGAAACACCAACCCACCCACAAAGGCAAAGACATCAGAATAGCAGCAGTGCTCTGGTCAGCAGCCCTAAAAGCCAAGAAGATATGGGATGATATATTTCAAGCCCTGAAAGTAAATAACTACTGACCAAGATTGCTATAGCCAGATGAGGCCGTTTGAATGAGAAGTGTCCCCATAAGCCCCTGTATTCGAACACTTACTTGGTCCATAGTGAAGGTAATGTTTGGGGAGGTTATGGAACTTTTAGGAGGTGGAAACTTGCTGGAGGAAGTACGTCACTGGGGCAGGCTTTGAGGGTTTATAACCATTTCACACTTCTATTCTCTCACTGTTTCTGGTATGTGGAGGAAAGTGTGATCGCCCAGCTTCCTGCGCTCCTGCCATGCTTATTCAGCCATGATGGACATCTAGTCCTTTCAAACCATAAGTCAAAATAAACTCGTTTAAATTGCTTTTGGTCATGGTATTTTATCATAGCAACAGAAAAGTAAGTAACACACTGCACCCTTTTATAAATGATGGAAAAATAGATTTCAAGACAGGCAGAGTCTGAGGCAGTTCTTGATCACTAATCCATTTTAGAACCAAATTAAGTACTATGCACAGAGAAAGAAGAAAGTCTCAATCGTGAGATCACAGGAATGAATAAATGTCATGAGAGGAGCTAATAAAGCTACCAAGGAGTCTATCACATCCAACACAGTGAATAGTAACCCAACAGAAAGCTGCAATGAAATTACAAGAATTAGTAAAACATTCCCAATAATAACCTTAAATGTAAATGGCTTCCAATTCCAACCAGACTGACTAGCATGATTAAAAAACTAGATCCAACTATTTGTTGTCTTTAAGAAATGTAGTACATGAATGGACACTCTGGGTCAAAGGATGGAAAATGAAAAAAAAAAAAAGGAAATAGAAGCCCAAAAGAAGCTGGGCTAGACACAAACCAAAATATGAAGAGATAAACAAGGCCATTACATATTAATAAAGGAGACCAAGAAGTTATAATAATTATAAGTGCATGTGCATCCAATATTGGGGCTCCTAATTTCATAAACACTAATGGACATAAAAGATCTGAGAGTTCCTAACAAAATAATAGTGATTTCAATGCTCTAGTTTCATCTTCAGATTAGGCCATCCAAACTAAAAATCAAAGAAGCCTCAGAGTTAAACACTATAGGTTAAATGGATATAAAAAATACAATAGAATATGCCAAGCAGTAGATAAAGTTACACATTCTTCTCACCATCCCTAGGACATCACATTCTAGGACATGCAGCAAATCTTAAGAAATAGATAAAATAATTTCTTTATCTCAAAGAAGAAAAAGACTATACAAATCAATAGTAAGAGAAACTAAATAAATAGAGTAAGCAATTATTTTCCGAGTGACCAGTGGGCCACTGAAGAAGTCAGGGAGGAAGGTTAAATTCCTAGATTCAAAGGAAAATGGAAGAACAACCTGCCAGAATCTTTGAGATACAGCTAAGGCAGTTCTAAGAGGAAAGTTTATATATGCTTACATTAACAATCCAGAAAGAGGGCTGGAGAGATGGCTCAGAGGTTGAGAGGCTGCTCTTCCAGAGGTCCTGAGTTCAATTCCCAGCAACCACATGGTGGCTCACAACCATCTATAAGGAGATCTTCTGGTGTGGTATGCAGGCATACATGCAGACAGAGCACTCTATACATAATCAATCAATCAATCGTTAAAAAAAATCCAGAAAGGGCTCAGATAAAAGAACAATTCAGACTCAAAAACAGTAGATGGCAAGAAGTAATAAAGATCAGGACAGAAATTAGTGAATTGGAGAAAAAATATGTAGAATCACTCAAGCAAAGAGTTGGTTCTTTGAAAAACAATGAGCTAGGCTGACAAAAGCTTACTCAAGCGCTCTCTCTCTCTCTCTCTCTCTCTCTCTCTCTCTCTCTCTCTCTCTCACACACACACACACACACACACACACACACACACACACACACACACACACACACACACACAATTTCCCTGATGAACATACATGCAAAATTTCTCAATATTTTTTTTTTTTTTTTGCAGGTTGAATTCAAGAACGCATTAAGAAGATTATACACATGACAAAACTACTTTCATTCTAAGGATGCTAGTTTGTTTCAACATATACAAATCATTAAGTGTTGTAGCATGAATCTTAGAGAGTCTTATTAATAAAATCAAACGCGGGGCCAGTTATTGGGGTGAAATGCTGGATGGTCAGAGAGACAGAACAAGCCACAGCTACCTCACCTGGCCAACTTCTCAGCTGGTCTTGTTTCCTCAGACTGGAAGCTTCTGTGTCCTCATCCCAATGGCTCTCAGCTGAACTGCTGCTAGAAAGCCTGAAAGCTTAACCAGCCAAATGCTTAATCAGCCAAATGCTTCTAGTTTCTGGTCCTCACGCCTTATAAACCTTTCTGCTTTCTACCACCACTCCCTGGGATTAAAGGCTGCTTTCTGGGATTAAAGGCATGAGTCACCATGCCTGGCTGTTTCCAATGCGGCCTTGAACTCACAGAGATCCAGAGGGATTTCTGTCTCTGGAATGCTAGGATTAAAGGCATGTGCTAACATTTTCTAGCCTAAGTATCTTGTGGCTTTTCTGTTCTCTGACCCCAGATAAGTTTATTAAGGTACACATTATTTTGGGGAACACAATACCACCACAAAGTGTGATTCAGCACATAAGAGACTGAAGAGCGGAGACTGCTTGATCATCTCAACCAATGCAGGAAGGGCCTTTGACAAGGTCCAACATCTTATCATAATCCCCCCCCCCCCAAAGAAAAAAAACAACTGGGAATAGAAAGAACATACTTTGGCATTCTAATTCCTGATCCTCCTGCCTCCACCTTTGGAGTGCTCAGATTACAGACTTGGATCACCATCTCTGGCTCCTTTTGTGGTTTTCAGCTGAATGTTTTTATGATGCTGGTTTCTCTACTTGCTCACCTTGGTAGTGGTGCCACTTCCTGGTCCTCTCCTCATTCTTTTTTTTTTTTTTTTTTTTTTTTTTTGGTTTTTCGAGACAGGGTTTCTCTGTGTAGCTTTGTGCCTTTCCTGGGACTCACTTGGTAGCCCAGGCTGGCCTCGAACTCACAGAGATCCGCCTGCCTCTGCCTCCTGAGTGCTGGGATTAAAGGCGTGCGCCACCACCGCCCGGCCCTCTCCTCATTCTTATTTGCCAAATATATCTATGATTGATGCAAATTAAAATTTAAATAACAATGTAGAGCATAAGTGTTCTGTGTTACTAAATATTAGTAAAATAATCCTGACCTGAACCTCCCAGCTCTGTATCAGTCTGCCATTCTTTGCAGTGACGTATCTGTATGCATTGTCTTCATATCTCCTTTGTTGTTTTATTTTGTGCTGATTGGCTATTTTAAAACTTTGGTTACACCCTTCCTTTTTGTTTACTTTTTTTTTTCTCGAGACAGGGTTTCTCTGTGTAGCTTTGCGCCTTTCCTAGATCTCACTCTGTAGACCAGGCTGGCCTCGAACTCACAGAGATCTGCCTGCCTCTGCCTCCCGAGTGCTGGGATTAAAGGTGTGTGCCACCACCACCCCGCCCATCCTTCCAATAGTGATTAATATCATGTACTATTGAGCATTCTGCAGTGATTACCCTAGATAACACTGCATACATCTTTACCACATCAAGGCACTGCGTTCACTGGTCCTTTTCTTCTCAGACATTTGGCAGACTCCATTTTCCTTAGACTTTATTACCTCTTCCCAGTTTCTCTGTCATTGTTTTCTTTCAACATATACTTAAATCTAATCAGGACTGTTATTGTGGGGCGGCGTTAATGGAGGTTTCATTGCTCTCCATTCCTTCCTATCCCTCTGATGTTTAATCTGAGATCATTTTCCTTTTGACTGAAGAACATGCTGTATTATTTCCTGTAGTACAAGTCTGGCTGGTGGCAAATTGTTCTTTAAAACAAAATTACATTCGTTTATTTACTTAGTACACCACCTCACATAGAGAAGACACTTAAACCATTTGCTGAATGAATGGAAGTGTAAATATGTAAAGGAATCTGGATGCACAGGCAGCCTGCAGACACAGTTTTGTTTTTCCGTACATAAGACTGAAGCTTTCTTGTCTTTTGATGCCTTTTGATGAACACATGGCTTTCTTTCCCCCAGTCTCATCATAGTGTGTGTGCTCCCTGGCTTAGCTGCAAAGGCATGGTAGATGTATGATAACAACTGTAGGAAAGTCAAAATTCTTTTAACTTTGTCACATAGAGTTGAATTGATTCCTTCTTTTAAAAATTTGTTTTATGTGTGAGAGTCTCGTCTGCATGTGTGTATGTGTGTATGTGTACCACATGTGTGCGGTGTCCACAGAGGCTGGAAGAGGGCACCAGATCCCCTGGATCTGGGGTTACAGGTGAGCTTCCATGTGGGTGCTGGGAACTGAACCTGGGTCCTCTGCAAGAACAGCAGGCGCTCTTACCTACTGAACCGTTCGTCTGGCTCCCTATCCTGCTCATCGTTATTAGAGATTGTACTGGAGATCTAGAATGACGTTCTCATAGACACCTGGAAACTCAGCAGAAATAACTTTGTGTGATGTTTCTGTTGAAAACTAAGAGACATTTGAGAGTCTGATGAGTAGTTAGTTTGCTGGTGGCTTGCAAAATTTAACCTTTCAGACATGGAAAAGGATGTATGGGAGGTTATCTTAAAAGGTTATCTTAAAAGACATTGTATTGGAACTGACCTCAGACACTAATGAAAGAGTAATCCTCCCCAATTCACCCCAAAGCTAGTAATCCCCGGGGCTGCGTGCTGGTGATTAAAAAAGAAAGGTAAGAACAGCTGTCTTTTTGTTCAGCTTAATTCTGTCCATGTACCTGGGTGGGTGTTAATTTCCTGGTGGCGCTGGCCGAGGGAAAGGGAGGTGTTAGGTTTCTGCAAGGACTGAATGTGCAGACGGGAATTCTGCCTGGTGTGTTCCTGGGGAACAGCACAGTTCAGGGGAGCTCAAGCTCGGGAGCTCAGGTTGCGTGCCTTTTAATTTCTGTCCTTTAAGTTGGACACATGGGCCACTATGTGCCTTAGGACATGGCAGTACTATCAAGTGTCAGCTAGACAGCACACTTTAATTAACAGTGCATCACCTCACCCCCGCCTCCAACAATGAGCCCTGCTGAGCCTGTGAGGCAGAAGTCAAGTTGTCAGGCAGAGGAGCAACACCTTCACCCTGATATGCCACATTATCTATCATCTATCTGTCTATCTGTCTATCTGTCTATCTGTCTATCTATCTATCTATCTATCTATCTATCTATCTATCTATCTATCTATCTATCTATCAATCATCTATCTATCTATCTATCTATCTATCTATCTATCTATCTATCGATCTATCTATCTAGGCAGCAGGCAGATATGGTTCGGGAGTAGCAGCTGAGAGCTTACATCCTTACTGGCAAGTAGGAGACAGAGCTCACTGAGAATGGTGTGGGCCTTTGGAAACCTCAAAGCCCACCCTCAGTGATACACCTGAACTGTACCATGGGAAGCCTGGAGCAGGGAACCCAACTACACTTTTTCTGAACTTCAGACCCATAGAAACTATGAGATAACAAAGGATGTTGTTTTAGGCTCTACATTTGTCGCAGATTGTAAGGAAGCAATAATAATAATAATAATAATAATAATAATAATAATAGCAATAATGATAATACCTCACAAAAATCCATCTATCACTAACTCAACTTTAATTCTCTATCAAGATTAATATGCAGCTGGGTGGTGGTGGTGCATGCCTTTAATCCCAGCACTCAGGAGGCAGAGGCAGGCAGATCTCTGTGAGTTCGAGGCCAGCCTGGGCTACAGAGGGAGATCCAGGAAAGGCACAAAGCTACACAGAGAAACCCTGTCTCGAAAAACAAAACAAAACAAACAAACAAACAAACAAACAAAAAGATTAATATGCGTCTCAGTAAAGTCAAACGCATTAATCAATCAACTCCAGTTTTATCTCATTGTCTTTTATTGATTTATTTATTTTGAAAAAAAAATTCCTTTTGAGTAACTTTGAATTCTAGGAAAAGCACAGGCTTGAAGGACAGTCCCACCAAGATGAAGACAATTATCTATAAATGTGAGGCTACATATGACTTGTTTCACTTAGTGGACTCATTTGGTCCCATATGAGTTATATGTTATAAATTATGGGCTTTTATTCTTTTTATGGCATAAGAGTATCCCACTATACATATGTGCCACATTAAAAAACATCCATTTGTCAGTTAATCCAACATCTCTTTATGATAAAAGTCCTGGAGAATCTACAAATGCAGGGGACATATCTTAACATAATAAAATCAATATACAGCAAGCCCACAGCTAGCATTATGCTAAACAGGAAAACTCAAACATTTTCACTAAAATCAGGAACAAAATAAGGATGTCCATTCTCTCCATTCCTGCTCAATACAGTGCTTGAAGTCTGAGCTAGAGCAATCAGACAAATGAAGGAGATAAAGATAAATAGGAAAGGATGAAGTCCAAGTATTCTTATTTGCAGATGATATGATTCTATACATAAAAGATCATAAAGAGTCTATCAGAAAAACTACAGCTGATAAACACGGTTCAGCAAGCTAGTATAGAACAGAAACACCTATTTTCCAAACTAAAGTGTGGCTCTGCTTAACTCCTCGTCTCCCTCTGCACCCCTGTCTCAGGAAATGGACTGATTATTCATGTTCGACTCCTGGTTCCCTCATAGCCATAACTTTCTCTTCATCAGTGTTCTGCTACTGTGCCCAAGCCGTGATTGACATCTTTGGGATCCTCGTGTGGAGACTCTTCCTTCTCCCACCTTTCTCTGTCCCTTTCAGTGGCTGCTGCGATACCTTCTCAAGGCTTGCACAGCACACCGTCGAATCAGGATCCCCCCCATCTCGCCTTGCACACTTTTCTCCACCACTCCACCATTTTACATAATCTTCATATTCCTCCCATGGTTGATAATCAAACTACTTCATGTCATTTCTTTCTGTCTTTCAGATCGGTAGTTCTAGGAAGATGTCACTTCTCTTCTCCATCACTCCTGGGTAGCTCTTAGTGGGCACTTAATTCATGTTTGGCATCCTCCACATTCGGAAGTCTTCCCTAAATGTTCTGCTTTCATTTTCATTGTTCTGACATTCTCCTTTTCTTTTATAACAACAAGAAAAACCTGCTACAGGCTCTACTGGGGATTGGGCTATTTCAGCTGCCTTGCTTGGGTTGCTTCCTCCATGGCTTCCCCCTTCCCATCCACTAGCAACATGCTGTATCTTTAGTAAAAGGAAATGTTTCTACTAATTGCATCCTCTCAGGAAATAGGGGGATTCACCCTGGGAGGATAGCATTGGCCATGGCTGTCCAAAAGGGAACCAGATGCTTTTTGGAACAAGGGTTAGCATCCCTCTGCCTAATGATGTAAAAACTTCTCACTCGCAAGGGGCAGAGTTTTTCTTAGAATAATTGGGTACAAACTACTCTCCTCCTCCTATTCACTAGCACTGGAAAATAAGAGAAATTAGGGTCCTGGATTCTAGGGAGGAAGGTCAAAGTTCAAAGCTCTCCTGCTTGGTGAGGATGCAAAGGACCTTTGAGGTGAGTAGGGTGTGACTGGGGGTGGGAGCAGCCAGGAGGCAGGCGACCAGAGGAGCCCCCTAGTGGAAAGAGGTCCTTGGTTCTTTTCTTCCCTCCCGATTTCAGTTCCTTGAACATGGCACACAGAGAAGCTTCCTTTATTCTCAGGTCTTGTATGTTGGCACAGGGCCCTTGACCTTCAGCACAGAGTGCTCTTCTCTCCAGGGCTTCCACATCTGTCCAAGTCGCTAGCTCAGGGCCGAGGGAGTTCAAAGGATTGCTCTATCAGGACAGTTCACTCAGGCAGCAAGTTTGTTGATCCCCACAGCACCTCCTTTTCTATAGGTGCCATATGCCACAATTCATACACAGACATGATTTGCCTGATTGTTGCAGTCTGGGCCTGGAATAATTTTAATTAACGGGAAAATGGTCCTCAATACACCGATTAGACCTCTTCAGGTACAACAAGATAAAAGCCTGATAATTTGGATGGAGTACTCTTCTTAAACGTCTACTGTAGGCACGGCAGCCAATGGGAAAGCCAGGCTGACTCCCACCTGACCCAGTGAGTAATTAAGAGAGGGCCTTTTCTTCTCCACCTCTCCCTGACTCTACCCTGCTCCCCAACTGAAGCTTAACAGGTTGGCGGCATAATTTGGAGACTTTCAGGGGTGTCATAGTAGAAGCTTAAGCAAGAGCCAAGACATCTTCTCCTCCCAGCCACTGACCAGCTGGGGTCGAAAAGCCAGCAAGTGAGGGGAGGAAGGATCTGGGGACGGCTCTCAGCAAAGTTTGCGAGGGCCTATGGCCATGAGTGAACTGGGCACACAGAAGGCTGGTGAAGGCACGGTGTCCCGCCTGCTCAATGTGGTGGAAAGTGAGCTTCAGGCAGGGAGGGAGAAGGGAGATCCTACGGAGAAGCAACTTCAGATCATCCTGGAGGATGCCCCACTCTGGCAGAGATTCAAGGAAGTTACTAATGAAATGATCGTGACCAAGAATGGCAGGTGAGTTTGTCTGCATCCTGCTTGTGCTGGCTTTGGGTTGGCGAGGAAGGTAAGACACCTTTAGGAAGGGTGACGCTGCCGCTCCTCATTCAGAGGCACTAGGCTCTGACCGAACACCTTAAAGAAAGATGGTCTCAGCTGGCTGTCACTCAGCCAACTTAATTAATTTCTCTGAGATCCTCGGAGCAGTGGAAGATGGAGCCACCTGTCTTAGACACACGTGAAATGGGGAATTGCTTTGCAGGGGGCCATGCCCCATGCACGGGGGAAGTGGACTCAACTGTCAGAAACTGCTATTCATTTTTGACTGACTGTGTACCCTGGAGCAGACATGAGCACAGCCCTGTTCAGACAACATGAAAGTCGATTTTATTTGGAGACCGGACAGTTTCCTCTTAAGCCCAGCAAAGGTGTTAGACAATTTTGATTAGATGAAGATTGGGATTGAAAGGGCAGATTTAGCTCACCAATCTAACCGAAGCTTCAATCAGTGGCTCACAGGACCAGGGGCTAAAGCAGCTTTCCTGTGGAGAGGGACTGCCGACCCACCTGCTGAGGAAGCAGTTTGGAACCAGGAATTCAGAAGACACAGGCCTGGGCAGAGAGGAATGTGTAAAATGCTTCCTTGAGGGTGGGTGTTCAGTCATGATTGTGTGTGTGTGTGACTGTGTGAAAGCTGGCATGTTCACAGTGAATGAAGCCTTAATACTCTGTCTCAGGGAAGAGAAGTTTTCTCCTTTTATTCCCCCTGCAAAGAGTGGGGATTATAGGTACGGCTCTCTGCTGGTATTTCTCAGATTCTGTGAAGCTGAGTCTGTTAAGGGGCTTTTGAGGCAATATTGAAAGCTTGCACTTAGCAGAGGAGATGCAAATGTTTTGAAAGAGACTCACTGCTCAGTCACGCTGACTCCCGATATGGTGCTCACAAATTGTTTGGTACCCATGGGCACAAAAGCACGCAACACCGAAGGACATTTGTGGTAATGTTGGTTGAGCCAGGACTCTTATTCTGACACCTCGAGAGAAATTTGGCTTATAGAGAAAAGTTGAAGCCAGCTGAACTTCAGGCTGGCTTTTGTCCTTGAGTAAGGTGCTTCCGTTCCCGATGTCTTAGCTTTCTGATTTCAAATAAGACACGGTATGTAAAATGAGCTATTCCTTGTACAGCTGGAAGAAGTATGAACCTGAGGGCCGTGGCATGACAGTGACCTGCTCTGTGAGTCAAAGTTAGACTGTAAATAAGTCATTTTATAAACTGCAGTTACAGCAGTAGCAGAGCTATCAACCTGTGTCATAAAGACACTTTTTCCCTTCTAAACAGACCCCCACAGATATCCCATAAATTTTATTGTTTTGAATATTTGAAAATTTAATTTCACTTGTTTCTTTTCTTGATAGAAAATATTTTTAAGTTCAAAGAATTGCTCTAAATTCTTAAGTGGATTTACAGAGAAACCCTGTCTCAAACAAACAAACAAACAAACAACCAAACAAAAAATTCTTAAGTGGATTTAGTCTCTTTCAAAGATGAGTGATGATGCAATTGTAAAATTAATCGTGTCTAGTTGTGGAACATTCGGCTTGTGCTTTATTATTCTTTATTTGACCATCAAAGTGACCCTCTGTTACAATACAAATAAGTACAACCAATACATTAAAATATGGTTCAAGTATTTTAGTAAAGGCAATAGAAGTCTCTGAGACATCATTAAATTCAATTTGATAGTAAATTATAGCAGAACGTACCTTTGCCATTTGAAAAGAGTGTTTTTTACCTTTTTAAAAACCCCAGTAAAATTTCTTTCAGTATTTAAAGTTTAAAATGATTTATATTTAAAGTCATTCCTAGTAATTATGTGAAAATTATTCTTTGTGGAAACAGTGCACTTGTAGCCAGAGTAGCTCTTAGTTATGAATGAAACCTTTTTCTTAAATTACCTTGAGTCTGCTGAGCCTTTAGGGCCACGATTTCCCCAGAGTTTGGACAGCATGCTCTACCTTATAGATGAGGTGAGAGGAAGAACCTGTAAGAAACTGTTGTGTGAATATCGATCGAGCTTGCTCAGGACCTGCTCGCACTCCCCTTGGGTTTTTAGATTCAGATTTTGGTGGACTTTATTGTTCTTCCCACAGACCACAGCTTTCTGGTTTCATCGTTTCCTTACGCCCTTCTTCTTTCCCTTCACCCCACCATCTCTTCCCCCATGTCTCCTTTTTACACATTCCTCTCTGTCCAGGCCTGTGTCTTCTCCAATTCCTGGTTTCAAACTCCTTCCTCAGCAGGTGGGTCGGCGACCCTTCTCCACAGGAAAGCTGCTTTAGCCCCTGGTCCTGTGAGCCACTGCCGCAGTTTTCCAGATGCTTAGCCTTGAGCAGGCGAGCTCCCACGGTTGTGTTTTCCCTTCTTTCTGCTTTTCTCCCCATTACTAATTCAACAGCAGCAACAGCCACACTTTCAGCCGTTTGTTTTTTTGTAAGCTTTCAGATGTAGTAGTAACTACAGCACTGTTAGCTGTGCTCACGTTCACCTCCACCCTTTAAGCTTATATGTTAGGTTGGGGAAAAAAATTCAATTCCGGCTATACAGGCACCTAAATCAAATCTCCCCCCTCCTCCTCCCCATCCTCCTTTTCCTCCTCTTCTTTTTTATTCTTTCTTTCCTCTCTTCATTCCTCCTTTCTTATCTTTCCCCTTCCTTCCTTCCTTCCTTCCTTCCTTCCTTCCTTCCTTCCTTCCTTCCTTCCTTCCTTCCTTCTTTCCTTCCTTCTGTCTTTCCTTTCTTCCTTATTTCTTTCCAGTACTGGAGACTGCCTAGGCAAGTGATATAATATTGAACTGTATCCCCAGCCCTCTTTGGATGGATCTCACCAAGTTGCCCATGCTGGCCCTGAACTTACTTGGAACCCCAGGCTGGCCTTGAGTTCTTATCTCTCATGCCTCAGCCTCCTGAGTAGCCGAGACAGTAGCCTGTGAGCTCAGACCCAATGCAGGTGTTTCCTTTACCTATAAACACCTTCATCTGAGAGGCAAGTGCTGTATTTCATGTATATTTCATGCAGTTTAATAATTCTGAGTTAGTTAAATTTACCTTGCACAGATTTTAAGAAATTGGAAGCATGTTCTGACATATCCGGTACTTACGGACGATCATAAATAGGAGTTGGGAATGCAGGGTTGGAATCTGTTGATAAGTGAGGGTGCTGGTGATGCTCAGCTCCTGCTAGCAGTTTCTAGTGAGGGCAGCATGGAAGTGAGAAAAGGGAAGGTCATACCTCAGGCAGGTTCATCTCCATGTCTGGGTAGCCCGTGGATTATTTTCTCTACACTTTATATAACCACAAGAGAAGAAGATTATAGGCATCGACGTAATTTGCTTCTAACCAGATTATGTTACTGCTAACGTTACTACTCTTTTCCCTCTGACTTGTACATGATTGACAACTGCAGCCGAGCTCATGCCTGCTTACTTTCATGTACTGACATTCACGTGCCGTGTGTTTCATAATTATACAACACATATGCACACACACACACACACACACACACACACACACACACACACACACACGCCTCTCAACCCCGACAGCTCTAGTGAGCCCCCTGATGACTGTTCCTGTTTGGTGAGGAGAGTGAAGAAGGTGTTTTTGAGCAAGACCTCCTGAGTGGTGTCTTGGACAGCCTCCGTTTTTCCTCTCCTTGCAAAGTCGGTCTCATCACTTCCCCTTTCCTTCTTTCTGTAGCCCTCTCTCCTGCCAGCCTCTTCCAGCAGGGCTATCTCCCAAGATTGCTGTTGGTGAGATAAAAACTGGACAGCTAGCTTCCCAGCAAAAGCACAGCCAAGTGTGTGGGTGGACTCAATACCCATGAGCCATCAAGCATGGTGCCTGGGGACCAGTTCTTCACATTGTCTTATTTTCTCTTCTTCCTGTCCATCACTCTCTCTTTCTCTTTGAGGGGACTTTCTTTCAAGGATGAATTAAGTGCTGATAATCTGTGAGTCAGAGGCTGAGTCGTATGTTTCTAAACTCCTTAAGACTCTCAACCTCTCTGTGCTTAGTCATGCTTTGGGGGAAAATGGAAGAAAAAAAATCACTTGGAGCCGGGCGGCGGTGGCACACACCTACAATCCCAGCACTCGGGAGGCAGAGCCAGGCTGTAAGTTCGAGGCCAGCCTGGGCTACAGAGTGAGATTCAGGACAGGCACCAAAACTACACAGAGAAACCCTGTCTCGAAAAACAAAACAAAACAAAAAACAAATCACTTTGAATAGAAGTGGATTTCATCCCTGAAAGCAAACCCTTGCCATGAGTGATGACCGCAGGACACAGATGATGTGTCGAGATCACTGTGGGTCCAGACAATGAAGGGGAAGGGGGAGATGAGGTGGAAGGAGAGGAACTTGGCTAAGAGGGAGGTCTAGTCTGGTTCTAAGACCTTCGGCAAGCTGACGGATTTATTCACTCATTGTGATAATAGAAATTAAATTCACATGGCATTGTTTAGTTCACTCAGGTGGTGATCTCAAAATCAAGAATAATTTTAAAGTTCTTGGCAAAAGGATCACCAAAGGGTATAAAACAGTTAATCATTCTATCATTTTTCATAGAAGACCTCTTTCCAAGCTTCTTTGTTTAACTGGCAGCATTATTGTGTGTTTCATATAACGTATTACCCATACATTTAAGGCACTCAGTTCAATGGGTTTAGAGTATTCACAGAATTGTGACTCCTTCTCCACAATTGACTTTTAGTACATTCCATTGACTTTTAGTACCAAAGAATCCTGTGTCCCTTAGGCATCAGTGACCCCCTAGTTTTCTCTTTGCCTCTATAGATTTACATACTCTGGTCATTTCATACTGTGGAACCACACAACATGTGATTCTTTGTGAAGATTTTTCACTTACTCCTGTGTTTTCAAGGTTCACATATACTATAGCATGCAGCAGTACTGCAGACCTTTTGTGACCAAATAGCACCCCATCATATGGATATAACACATTCTGCATCTATTCGTTATTCAATGGATCTGTCTGTTTTTGTAATAATGCTGCCATGACATATGTGTAATCACGTGTTTTCATTCTTCCTGCATACATTCCGAGGAGTGGAATTGCAAGATTAAATAGTAATGCCAACAGACCATTTTCCAAAGTGACTGCACCATTTTATATCCTTCACAGCCATGTGAGAGGGGCTCCAGTCTCTCCACACTCACCAACGTTTTCTGTGGTCTTGCTTTTCTGCTGTAGCTGCCCTTGAAGGTGTGAAGTGGCATCTTACTTGGATGCTTTTAGAATACCTAGTGAGGCTGAGGAGCTACTTGTGCAGTCACGTTTCTTTACAATATCAAGTATATCTGAATTTGGAAAGAAAGAAGAAATTTCATGACGGGTTTTTTCTTTGTGATTGAGACCTCATACGACAGAGTTGAGAGACTGAGGGGGGTGGTGCTTAAACCTATTGGGACACCCTATGGGGTCTTTCCTTCTCTTTGTCCCAGCAGATATGGCTTTCTCTTTTGGTCTCTAGGCAGATATGCTTATTGGAACCTTGGGGCCTCTGTACTAAACCAGGGGTGTGTAACGCCTCCTTGTGGTGAAGGAAGACTTAAATGAGGTGTAACATATGCTAACCCCTGGGTGCATAGGGCAACTATTATCATCGGAAGTTGACCTTGCATTAAATTATCTTGCTAATGGTAAGTGAGAAAACTCCCAGGGTTTGATGTTATACTGTCATCTGGAGCAGGTGCGTCATTCTGTGCTCAGTGTCGGGGAACAGAGATGCTTTGCAGATTTTGCTCTTATTTAAAATATAACATGCTATAGATGCTACATAGCCTCATGGTACTTTTAAACTTTAGCTCACAAAACAGCAATTTATTTGTCATGCTTGTGCTTTTTTTTTTTAAATTTTATTTTTACAAGACAGGGTCTTACTATGTTGTCTTGGCTGGCCTGGAACTTACTATGTAGACCCGGCTGGTTTTGAATTCATAGAGACCCCACCTGCCTCTGCCTCGCAAGTTTAACTATTCCCTTCACTTGGCTCCTGTCGCTATTAGTGAGTGACCATACTCCGCTCTTGTGAGTTATTTTTTTTAATAATGTAAAATGAAGAAGAAGAAGAAGAAGAAGAAGAAGAAGAAGAAGAAGAAGAAGAAGAAGAAGAAGAAGAAGAAGGAGAAGAAAAAAAACCAAACAAACCCCAAATGTATCACTTTAGGGAAAGCTTGGGACTAGAAGACAGAGACCAGTTGCAACCATACCTCCTGTGAACAAGCTGTCTTCCCAGCCGTTAAAACGACTTTATGGATCTCTATGTCATCTCTCTGATGCCCACGTTTATGTTCCTTTGCAAATGACATTTGTGTGTTCAGCAACTCCTCTTGTCTACACTGGGCCAATACTATTAAAATAATTGAAAACGTTAAATACACTGAGACAAGGAAGAGTTCAACCTGATGTCAAGAGGAAACAACGGAGAAGACCCGTTCTATTGCTTCCATTAAGAAAAAAAGCAACAGAAAGCAGAGCGGGGAATGCTGCCTCACTGGCCTTCCTGGTGACCTGAAAGAGGAGTCATCTTGAGGAGGGGAGTGATGTGGGGCATGCGATTCTCAGCCAAGAATATGGGTTGGGAACACATTATCTGAGGCATTTTCTCCCCTAGACATTTTATTTCTGATGCACACACTTCGTCCCATTTATTGAAACTCACATCACAGCAGGGCAGCTTTATAATGTCGTAGGGACTCAGTGAGTTGCTTCCCATGAAGCAATACCTGGTGAATGTGCTAGGTGTTGGCACTGTGCCCCCAGACTCATGACCTCCAGCTGGCCAGTCCTGCTGCTGTTCTAGAATCTTACCTAGGGTCACTTTGTACATTGAAAGCACAGGCAGTATCAACTCTGCCCCTGGCTGCCAGGAACCACCTTCTTTGGCTTTTCTTTCTGGAAACAGGAAGTCTAGAAAGAACTGGGGGGACGGAGTGATGGTGACTATGTGGTTTCTCTTTGTGGGTAATGAAAAGGCTATAGCATCAGAAGTCAGATGTTTAGATAGATGCGAATATCGGCATTGTTCTAGAGGGTTAAAGAAGGACCAGTGCATTCATATCTACGTATCAAGAAGTATTTGCCTTGAACAGAGATCCCCACAAAATAATCAGAGACAGGTGGGGTTTAGGGTGTGTGTGCACAGTCTCACACTCCTCCCTGTGTTCATGGTGTGCATGGATGTGGGAAGGCTCTGAGAAGTCCTGCAGAAAAGGAACCCTAACTTTTCCGTCACAATCCCCTTTCCTGCTGGCTTTACTATGCAGCTGTGTACACCTTTATTCACAGTCAGGGTTCCATCTGAGTCTGGGGATGGTAGGTCTATAGCATGAGGATGTTAGGGAGAAAGCTGTCTGAGAAGGCGGCATTTGAGGACACACTTGTCTGTATGCCCTTCTGTCTGAAATGACTAGACCCGATGCTCTGCAGATTTTAACACACAGGACAGTGTTTTATAGTCAAACCCCAATGTCAAATGCATTGATAAAAAGAGGCTCTGGTGGAATTAGGGCTGTGGTCTTAGCTGCTGTCTATGTAGCTTCCTTTCCAGATCATTCCATGGAGGGTCTCCTCAGGGGTGGGAGGCCTCTGGGGCAAGGAGGGGGAAGGGATCCTCTAATATCCCTTTTGTGGCTGTTTCTGGCTTCTTTCAGACGGATGTTCCCTGTCCTGAAGATTAGTGTTACAGGACTGGACCCCAATGCCATGTACTCCCTCCTGCTGGACTTTGTCCCGACCGACAGTCACCGCTGGAAGTATGTCAATGGGGAATGGGTGCCCGCAGGCAAGCCCGAGGTCTCTAGCCACAGCTGTGTCTACATTCACCCGGACTCCCCCAACTTCGGGGCGCACTGGATGAAAGCTCCCATCTCCTTCAGCAAAGTGAAGCTGACCAACAAGCTCAATGGAGGTGGGCAGGTACGCGCGGCCGCCCCGCACACCCATCAAGAAATATCAAGGGTGCATTTAGGCAATTAGAGGGGTCCTCACCAGCCTCTTTGCCCACAGAAGCCGGTTATTTCCTGGAGTCCAAATGTAAACAGGAATAAACAGCTCTTAATTGGTGCTTCAGTTTTTAATGGACTTCCTGATGGTAAGAGAATGAGAGAGTGTACCAGTTTACTTAATCATCAGGCTCTTTCCCGTTTTGTCTTGCGTGGGGCGCTTTTTACTCAGCCCAGGGAGGGAGATGTTTGTAGGTACCAGGGTTTTCTTTTCCTCTCTCCCTTTTTTTTTTGGTGTAAGTGGCATGTTGGCAATAGACAAATACCTTAATAAAAAGCTGCTCCTAAATGAAATAATTACTACTTCTGCTTGGGCATTATGATAATTATCAATAGAATATTGAATCAGCTTTGGTTTTTTTTTTTTTTTTTTTTTTTAGAATAAAATAATTCAAACAAACCTTAAATAAGGAAGGTTCTATTTAAAATCTCCAATTAGGGTAAACATGATGTGGAGCCTCTTTTCCTCATTTCTGTGGTAGGTTGCAAATCCAGCTCCCTGGGTAAGCTGTTAGTTACTTTATAAAATGCAGACTATTTGGAGGCCCTGGAGATGGGACTTGGGGGGAAAGGCCTGCTCCTCTACCCGGCCCTCAGGTTTTGCTTTGTTTGTGCTGAGCCTGTGGCTGCTCCTTTCTCTCTTTGCTAAGTGGCAGGGAACATAGGAGTCCACAGTTTAGGAGGTAGAAGTAATGCAATCCCAGGCTTTGTGGTAGCCAGAATACTCTTTATTAAAATGCAGATCTGAAGGTTGCTTGTTCCTGCCCTACTATATCTCACAGCACAAGGCTTTTGATAGCCTTTTATTCAAATCATAAGAGTAAATTTTATATAGTCCTCTGACACTAGATTTCCTTACCCTATAGGCACTGTTAACATTTTGTGTTACTGGGGACTCTTCATATATGAACAGATATGTATTTAAACAGATTGAAATGTATATTGTCGTGCTGAACACAGAGGAAGCAAGAAAATGGAAGCCTGAACTTGGGTAGACTAGAGAAAACTTAACTTTGGCTGTCCACTTCTGGCCCAGTCTGAGGGTCAGTGTGATGTTTGCTGGGAGTGTCTGCAAAACACCTCCTCACTCATTTTCACACAGGACTTCATGTGTATGTTCCTAGTTGGGGTGGGTGCTGAGCTTGGGGGAAGCCCAAGGTGTTGGCTAGCTGATCAACTATGATATGCCAGGCTTAGTTTAGCTCTTTGAAACTTTTCCCCCCTCCCATTCAACAGATAATGCTGAATTCTCTGCATAAATATGAGCCCCAGGTTCACATAGTGCGTGTTGGAGGCGCCCATCGAATGGTCATGAACTGCTCCTTCCCTGAAACCCAGTTCATTGCTGTGACTGCCTATCAGAATGAGGAGGTAAGGGAGTGTGTGTCTGTGTACATATCTGTGTGTGTGTGTTTGTGTGTGTGTGTGTGTGTGTGTGTGTGTGTGTGTGTGTGTGTGTGACTGTTACATGGAAGTGCACAGCAGAATTGGTGAGGAGTCTTTTTATTGCCAATGAGCAAAACTGAACAGAATTTAAGTTTTAAGGATTCAGACACTCTCAACAGTGATAAAGCTAGACAGTGAGGCATGTGTAGAGGCTCTCATGCCTGTCTGTTTGCTAAAGGCCCATGTGTTAGTCAGCTTTCTGACACTATTACAGGTACAGGGGACAGACAATACAGAGAAAGTTTTCCTTTGTCTTACCATTCTGGAGGCTTCAGTACAGTCCAAGTGACCCTTTTACTTTTTTTTTTTTTTTTTTGGTTTTTCGAGACAGGGTTTCTCTGTAGTTGTGTGCCTTTCCTGGAACTCACTTTGTAGACCAGGCTGGCCTCGAACTCACAGAGATCCTCCTGCCTCTGCCTCCTGAGTGCTGGGATTAAAGGCGTGCGCCACCACCACCCGGCTGACCCTTTTACTTTTGTAGAGTGGAAAAAGAAACCTTCCCCAAATTCCCTTCAAGGGCATGTCTCAGTGATCTGAAGACCTCCTAAATATTCCACCAGCTCCCAGGGAGCACCGAGCCTTCACACGTGGGCCGTCGGGACACACTCAGAACAACGACAGCCTACCACAGCAGCCTCCCGGTGCCGACCAGACAGTTACCTCCAGTTAGAAAACCGCTGAGTTGTGTTAGAAATCCGAGTCTTTGTTTCGGGCCCCTCAGCGTGCTTGGCTGGTAGCAAGCTGATGTGTCTGAGAGGAGTGTGGGCTGGTAGGGTGGTGGGCAACTTCTCCTTTCTGCTCTGGAAGCAGGCTTGTGGGGTTGACATGTGTATTCTCTTATGGTTTTTATGATGCCCTCTGTTCTGCTTGTCAGTTTTTTCTCTCTGAGCACAATCATGTTTTTTTTTTTTTTCCCTACTTAGTAACTTGAACATCGAGTCTTTAGAATTCCAAGCCTGGCCTCTCCGTGAACTGCTTTGAGTCCATCTCGTTCTCCAGGGGCTGACAGCCCTGCTAATCATCAAAAACAACTGGGAAACATTGGGTTCTTTTTGATTAAACTTAAACATGAAAGATAATATAGGTTTATTTAAAAAAATATAATGGATGGTAGCAAAGTATACAAGGTAAACATGAAAAGGAAAAAATGCATTTTCTTTTGCTTTTGGAGGCACACTGTCTATGAAAGCTATAACGACCGGCTTCAAAGTGTATTCCACCCACATTTGCTACAATATATATGAGGATTTCTTCATAGAGATTTCTTCACATAAATTGGTTCATCTTGTAAATGTTAGCTCCACGTTTCTTTCCTTCCTTCCTTAAACTGCTATAAAATATAGTGGATCTCTTTCTATGAAATTACATTCAGGCATGTCTCTTTTTCTTATAATCGTTTTGGTATTTGATTATACAGGTCTATGACATTTCATGTGAGCAGCCTCCTGCCCCCAGCAGAACTTAAGTTGTTTTATTTTCTATTATAAATTATGCTGCAGGGAATGTGCTGGGTAATCCATCCTAGATCGCTTAGTAGGGAACACCTAGAGACAGGATTGTTCTGCACAAGGACTGACTGTATGTGGAAGGTTTTGATCAATGGGCCAAGTCCATCCCCTGAAAAGGGCATCTCATTGACAGCCCCCACACAGAAGCAACCCCTTTCATCCTTGGCAATCTTTTCATTAACAAAAACGATAACTTCTGCTTTAACGTGCATTTCTTTATGTGGAGGCTTTCACAGAGTCAGGCACCAGGACTGGCATCTCCAGGCATGGTTTCTAGACTCTGCAGTGTTCTGTCTCCTATGAAGGGCCCTGGTGACATCGGGTTGGAAACTGGCATCTTGGTTCTGTCGGTGGAATGATGTTGCAGACCTAGCTTAAGGGCAAGTGTGCAGAGTGTAGCCGCTGTTCTGTAAAGTAACCCAGAAGCCTGCCAGTCAGCCAGGGGGAGCAGACTCTTCTACAAGCCTCCCACTGGTGCTGTCTTTCAAGATGACACCCGCAGTCTCTCAGCTAGCCTTTTTCCCCCTCCACTTCTCTCTGAGAGGAGTCTGGCTTGAAGAGAGACCATGTGTCTTTTGTGTCTCAGAGACGTGTCCTGGCTCTTCTGCCCAGGCAGAGATCCTTGCCTATCTGTATGCTGCTCGCTCTTAGCCACTGGCCCTTGTCATTCAGTTACTGACTTGGGAGATGCCACAGGTGCTAGACAGTTCTCTCTGGACCAACTGCCTGGCAGTGGCTACCTTTCCACCAAACTCCCCAGCCTGACTTAGCCGTTCCTTAAATTTGAACATATCCCTTGGAGATCAAGCTATGTAAAATTTAAGCCCGGGCCCTCCTACTGCTCACAAGGTTTCCCTGGGAGTTGAGCAGGTGTAGGGCTGGCTGAGAGAGTCCCAAAATCTCCTTCGCACCCAGTGCTCACTTTACTTTCCATCCAAGGGTTAAGCCAGGAGAAATACCAAGGCGTGTGTCCTGACCTGCACCCTCCTACCTTTTCTAGAAAGAGCTGTACTTTTATTTTACTGTTCTTCTCCACATAGAGAGTCACAGGCTCTTGCAGACACCACTATTTTGTTTGCTTTCTTCAAAAGTATTTGCTGGATACCAATACATGCTGACTGTTATCACAGGTGCCGGAAACACTGTAATGAACAAAACAGATACGCACATCATTCTCAAGGCACTTATATACCGGTTGGTGGGAGATAAAGACAGACAGACATTCTCTCTCTGCTTCCAGCTCTGTCTCAAGCTCTGCCTCTATCTCTGCCTGTCTTTGTGTATGTCCGTGTCTCTGTATCATGATGACAGACGGAGCTAAGGAGAGAGAGAACACATGATCAGAGCTGTGAAGTTTCACATTTTCACTTTTCTTTATAACTGACTAATATTTCCTTTTCATTGTAAAAGCTACATATTAACACATATATGTCACAGGATCTGTCCTGTTCACTTACTGAGTGGATTTTATGATGTAGAGGGACAGTGGATGGGAATGGATGATGTGTTTTCACATTAACGTGGCCTGAGGGTAAGTGGTTCCATGAGAGCAAGGGACTTGATGCTGAACTGTATACTGTAATTGATGTGTGGATCACACCTGCGCTACACTCCCCACTGTGTGACAGGGGAGGAAACTGCTTGTGGCAGGGGCTCGGTGACTCTTGGATCCAAATGAAAAATGAGTGAAAAGGAGGACTGGTGGGTCGGCCCTGCCAGGCTTTACTGATCCCTGGCGCTGGACCACTCTGCTCACTTGGCACACCGTTTGCTATTTCTGTCCCACAATGCAACAGTCAGTGGTGAACAGTGAGACATGGGAAGCAGGGAGAACAGGAAAGAGGGAACTCAGGCTTTATGGACATTCGCAGGGGGGAGATAAGGGCTCTGGCTGCTTCACTAACCCTTCTTGTCTTTGCAAATGCAAGATAACAGCTCTCAAAATCAAGTACAACCCGTTCGCCAAGGCCTTCTTGGATGCCAAGGAAAGGTGAGTAGAAGGGTTTCAGTGAGATCTTGAGAAGTGAATTCTGCATGCGTGGGGCTTCTTGAGCAGAGCTTGTGTGTGAATTGCCTTCGCCAGAAATATGCTGCAACGCTCAGGTCAGCGCTGAAGAAACTCAACAAAATTCAAACCAAACCACAATGGTTTGTTCCTATAGCAACTGTGAGTATTTTATCAGCCTTGTTTTCCTGTGGATTCGTGGATGTAACATAACCACATAAAGATGTGATTTAGATTTTAAATAATTTTCTTGGCTCGTACCCAACCTTTGAAGACTAGGTATGGTGTTCTATTTTAATTTTTGAGACATGATCTTAGGCAGACTAAGTTGGCCTTGAACTTGCTGGGTATCTGAAGATGATCTTAAAATTCTGATCTTCCTGCCTCCATTTTGCAAGTGCTTGGGGAGACAAGCATGTACCACCATGCTTCATGTATGTGGTGCTGGGCATTGAAGCCAGAACTTTGCGCATGCGAGACAAGCATTCTCCCAGGTCAGCTGTGATCTCCAACACAGGAGTATGGTTCTAATAATTCCCCCTTTCCCTTCAGATAGGATCTCCTTATGCCCCCGAAGTCTCCATCTTGCTGCCTCTGCCTCTGGAATAGTGGGGTTACAGGCGTATACCACTATCTGGCTTTCAATTTTTTAAAAAAGTTATCTTTAGTGCAAGAAAAGTGAAAAACCGTGGGAAGCTTCTATTTCTCAATGGTGAGGAGAAGAGTTAGAGACTTGCTGGGGCATGATCTAGTCTATCACACACATGGAATTGTCCCAAAACCCTGTGCAGATCTTAGCTGCTGGTGTTACTGTCTGCATATTGTCAGGCATGTAAAAGAATCACAAAATCAATCAGATCAAAATAGAAAGTAATGGTTGTAAGAATGACAGGAAAGGAAAAGTAAAATCGTCATGGTTACGTTGGACTCAGTGCCTCCAGAAAAGTGAACCTGGGGAGGGTAGCAACTTTGACTGTTCTTATTCCAAGATGTTTATCGCCCTCTGCAGAGAGTTTTATGTGCTTTATGCTGGACTGTAACAGACTCTGTACTTTTCATTACTCTTTCAGAAACCACCTAAAGGACATTCCAGAGGCTGTCTCTGAGAGCCAGCATGTGACCTATTCACCCTGTGAGTGGAGTGGCCAGTGTGTGGGAGGCATGTGGGTTTCACAGGGCACCATTTTCCTTCAAGGTCATTTGACTGTCAAGACTGTGTAAGGCCTAGTCCAAATCAAGAGCCCATAAATCATTTCTCCAACCCGAGGCAGGTTTATGCCTTTTCCAGAGTTCCTAGAGAGAAGCCAGGTTCCTAGGCTGACGAGGCCCAAGCAAACCTCAGGTAGGAGCCATGAATGGAAGTAATCCCTTTCACATGCTCTAGCTCATATAAGAGCTCCGTAACAGGCATCAGACTCTCCACTCTTGCTTCTTCATCCTGGATTTTTCATTTTCTTAATGTTTGCTGATGTTGGAGTGAGTCTTCATTGCAGGGCCTCAGCAGGCTGTGGCCTCGCGTGTTAGGATGTGGAGGGCGGGGAGAGCTGGAGTTGATCACATCTGGAGATTCTCAGGTAGTGTTGGAAGACATTCCTGGTGGTACCACTTTCTCCATGGCCCAGCACAGCAGAGGCCTCACGGTGGAGGCAGACTTCTGAAGCTGCTGTGGTAACCCTCGGGCAGTGACGTGGGAGTAAAGTTGACCTTCTGACACACTCTTTTTTTTCTTTTTTCTTTTTTAAATTGAAAATAGATTCTTCTATTATACAATACATCTGAGCACATTTTCCTCTCCCTCCACTCCTCTCAGCTCCTCCCCACCTCCCCTCTATTCAAGATCCACTCCCTCTCCATTTCCTTTCAGAAAGGAGCAGGCCTCCAAGAGACAACAGCCAAGCACAACAAAACGAGATACAATAAGACAAGGCAAAAGCCCTCATATGGGGGCTGGATAAGGCAACCCAACAGGAAGAAAAGAGTCCCAAGAGCAGGCAAAAGAGTCAGAGACACACTTGCTCCCACTGTTAGGGGGTCTCACAAAACCCCAAGCTAACAGCTGTAACGTATATGCAGAAGAGCTGGTGCAGACCGGTGCAGGCCCCATGCTTGCTGCTTCAGGCTCTGTGAGCCATGTGAGCCCTGCTTAGTTGATTTGGTGGGCCATGTTCTGGCTGACACGCTCTTTAGTTCAGGTGCTAGTGGATTGCTGAGAAGGATTCTTGCTGCCATGTGAAAGCTTTGGAATTCTTCACCCCTTCCTGTCCCCAAACTGCAAGTCATCTTCTATGCAGATGTACCAGTAGAGTCTCACAGGGAAGCCGTTAGGAAAGCTCCCTCCCCTTTTTTTTCAAGACAAGGTTTCTCTGTGTAGTTTTGGAGCCTGTCCTGGATCTCACTCTGTAGATCAGGTTGGCCTTGAACTCACAGAAATCCACTTGGCTCTGCCTCCCAAGTGCTGGGATTAAAGGTGTGCAGCACCACCACCCAGTTAGGGAAGCCTTTTAAAGGAACTTTAGCCAAATGCTTTCTTGTTTAGGTTAGGGTGGACCCATACCTTCTCAGTATCCATGAGCTGTAACATTCTCAGCAAATATCCTGAGGTGTAGACATCATAGGGCAAACTAACTGGCCTTGGGGTGGGGGGATGGGGAGCTCTGCCTTGTTCTTGTCAAGAATTCACCCTGATTTTTGGTTTCTGCTTAGTAAACACCTGAATCCCAATTCTATTAATCAATGTAGAGACGTTTTAAAATTTTCTCTAAAGTGTCTATAATTTTAATCTAAGAAATAGACTGATAAATGTAAGTGTATTATAAATCATAAACATGCCAGAATATGAAAGCCATACAGAAAACCTGAGACTCAAGGAAAGGGCTACATGGTTGAAGCTTAAATAGTATGTTGGGTTACATTAAGAACCTCAAGGCTTCTGCAGGTAGGGGTGGGGAGATGATGGTACTTTCTGTGGAAGAGTGAAGGGAGTGTAGTCAGAAGTTTTCCTGTGTCCTGTGCACTCAGCAGCCGCTCAGACCCAAGTAAATACACAGAGGCTTATATTAATTAAAACTGCTCAGCCATTAGCTCAGGCCTACCACTGACTAGCTCTTATACTGAAATTCAGCCCATTTCTGTTAATCTATATGTCACCATGTGTTCTGTGGCTTTACCTGTGTGTCATTACATGCTGCTCCCTGGATGGCGGGCTGGCGTCTCCTCACTCAGCCTTCCTCTTCCCAGAATTCTCCTTGTCTGCTTATCCCACCTATACTTCCTGCCTGGCTACTGGCCAATCAGCGTTTTATTAAAGCAGTGTACAAAAGCATTATCCCACAGGAGAGCAAGCAGTTCCATCCTGGAGGTCAGGCTGCACAGGTCTGTGATGTTCTGTGAAAGACTTTTGGGCAGGTCCAGATCAGGCTGGGAAGGGGGATTCTCGGGGAAAGCCTGCTCACTGCTGCTGATGTTTTTACACATCTGGATCTCCCCACAAGGACAGCTTTTTAGGGCTGTTCCTGTGTGGAAGGTCCCTGAAGAGCCATTTCAGAACACGCTAAAGACATACATTTTGGGGTGGGCTATTTTGATCTCTCTTAGGTGGAGCTAATAAAGAAGTCAAAGGGATTGGGGATGATACTGCATACTTTGTTTACTTATATGTAAACATTTTATCAGGAAGAGTGGGCTGTCATACCCAGCTCCATTTTCTTTTTCTTTTTTTTTAATTTTATTTTATTTATATTTTATGTATATGAGTGCTCTGCATGTATACCTGCATGCCAGAAGAGGGCATCAGATCCTATTATAGATGGTTGTGAGCTACCATGTGGTTGCTGGGAATTGAACTCAGGACCTCTGGAAGAGCAACCAGTGCTCTTAACCGCTGAGCCACCTTTCCAGTCCAACCCAGCTCCATTTTCACATTGCTGTGATCTGGGTGATGATCCTCAGCCACTGTACTTAAGGAGCAGCTGTGGTCCTGTCTAGCGTCCATTTGTCCTTTCAGCTGAGATGGCTTCTTGTTTCAGGGCTCACATTGCTAAGTCTCAGTTTTGCCTAGAAACCCACTTAAAGTAGGGCATTCTGGTCAGAATCTTCACCAACCATCTCCATGAAATGTTTTGTGGGTTTCCAAAAATTCAGTGAAAGGTTTGTTGTGCAGAATTAGCTCCTTCCCATTTTCTGTGCTCTCAGAATTCTGTTTGTAGGCTCCTGCTGGAAGGCATCATTTTCTCACTGGGTAGAGGAGAGAGGGACCTTTACTTTTCCTGTGTAACCACATTCAACAGCCCTTGTATCTGCAGTCAGTGAGTTACACACACATCTAATGTTTCCCAGACTAACGTTTACTTTAATTAAGCCAGAGTGACTTTTGCTGTCTGATTTTGGTGTAGAAGTCTCTGCACTTTCTTCTTGTCTATTCTAGTGGGAGGCTGGATCTTTTCTAATCCGGATGGCATGTGCACAGCAGGAAACACCAATTACCAGTATGCTACGCCGTTGCCTCTGCCTGCTCCCCACACCCACCATGGCTGTGAGCACTACCCTGGCCTCCGAGGACATCGGCAGGCTCCCTACCCTTCTGCGTACGTGCATAGAAACCATTCTCCCTCAGGTGCGTAGTTCTGCTAATTAAACCCTTGGGCATATACCGTGGGGGTACACAGCTGCTAAAAAGAAGTACCTGAAGATGGAATCCCTTTCATCTATAGTATATACACACACACATATATAATGTATGTATATATATTATTTTGTATACTAATATTTGATAGCATTTTGTCTCCTCGCCTTTTGTGTGTGTGGAATAGCTGTACCACTGGGCTATAGCTCCAGCTCGTCCATGGTCTCTAATGGGTAGGAAAGGTCTTGACTCAGGGTCCTGATATACTGGTAGTTTTGGGATGATGTCTGATGCTAAGTCAAGTTGTGGGGTCTGAGACACTCATCTCATTGTCCTTCAGGGCTCACTGTGTCCATGGCTTGGTCCAGGGAGTCTGGTCCAGTGCAAGAGAATTGCCAGGAAACCCCTGGAGAGCTACCGTCCGGTCTGTTCAAGCCTCTGATTGAGTTGGGGTCATGCAGACTCAACTTCTATACTTTTCCAGCCTAATTTTAAAATTGGTGTTGTCAGTTTTCCTTGTTGACTGTTGTCTTGTCTGTCTTGGCCTTGTGCATGCTCAGACCTTCTCTGCATATTAGATTTGTTTAAAAAAAAAAGAAAGGGGATAAAAGCAAAGGTTAATTTTTAATTTTGATTAGTCATGTACCGAGAACCAATTATATGCCGGGTTCTGCTTCAGGCACATGAACAAAGTGGTCAGATACTTTACCACTATGGGGCTCCCTGTCCTAACATGAGTGACCAACCCTAACCACAACAGATGAGTGAAGTCCATGACATGAGATGCCGCTGTCCTTCCTCAGTGACACCTGAGCTTTTCATTTGCAGAAGGCTTCCTGGTCATCAGTGGTCTGTCCCTGTGCTCTTCAGGTGGCTGTCCCTGGAGCCTCAATACTGCTGCCAGCTGTGGAGAACATGTGGCTTAATGGCACTGGGAACTAGCAGGGCCTCACTTTGTTTTTCTGGGTTTTTTTTGTTTTTTTTTTTTTTTTCTGCGCTCAGCACACAGATCTCTCTTCCAAGCCCTCTTTTAGGAAGGCGATTCAGACCCAGCCTTTTCCCTGGAGGAGCTATAAAAATACATCAAGAATTAATCATAATACAGGGGAATGAGTGGCCTAATGTGGGTCTCACAGCTGCAGCATCACCTGGGAACTCGTTAGCTCTCTAGCGTCTCCGGCTCCACTCTGGGGCCAGAGCGTGCATTTTAACAAGATCCCCAGGTGCTCGTAAGCACAGTAAAGTTTGAGAGGCAATCTATAAAACACACAGACCAACGTACTGTGGGAATGAAGAAAAAGCAAGTAGGTCTGCCTGGTGGGCAGAAAAGGATACCCAGAGGGGGCGGAAGTGGGAGTGGACAGGCAGAGATGCAGGGTGCTTCGGGGGAGCAAGTGCTGTGTGCAGACACAGAAGGGTAAAAGAGCCTGGGCTACCTGGGGGACAGATCTGGACAGAACGTGGAGGAGGGGTACCATTGGTAGATGTAAGAACCAGGACTGAAGAGGTTGCAAGTGCCAGCCAAGAAAAGCAGCAGCAACCCCCAGGCCTGATTTCATTTTACACTGCCAGGACAGATGTCCGAGGTAGGGTGATTTGTAAAGAAAAGGAATTTGTTCCCTCACAGGGAAGCTGGCTAGTCCAAGACCAAGGCAATAGCCTTTCTTGCTGTGTTATAGCATAGAGGAGAGCGGGAAGGGGGCTACATTCATCTTTTTTATGAAGAATTCACTTCCACAGTAATGGTGTTACTCTAGTCATGAGAATTCTCACAGGTCCCATTTACTACCACTGTTACACTGGAAATTAAGTTCCTAATGCATGAACTTTGGGAGATGCATTTGAGCCCTAGCACCAAGGTTGGTAATAAGAATCTCCTCCCTTTTCCCCACCCCCCTCTCTCATTCCTTCTTCATGTGTTTCCCTTTCATATACACTATTCATTCAAATGAAGATTCAAAAAAGTAGACAGCATTCTTTCCTTTCTTATAAAAATATATACATTTAAAGTATACAGTAATATGTTGATGTACACATATACACAGGCATACACATATACAGTGAAATCATTACTATGCTTAGGGAAAACAACATTCATTTAAAATATGAAACAGAATCTCCCTAGGCAGTGATGGTGCATGCCTTTAATCCTAGCACTCTGGAGGCAGAGGCAGTCAGATCTCTGAGTTCAAGGCCAGCCTGGTCTACAGAGTGAGTTCCAGGACAGCCAGGTCTACACAGAGAAACCCTGTCTTAAAAAAAAAAAAAGAAAATGAAAAAGAAAAAGAAAAAAAGAATAAGAAAGAAATTCTCTTAGTAAAATTTTAGGACATAGTACATTATTATTATTATTATTATTATTATTATTATTATTGGTTATTTTGAGACAGTGTTTCACATAGCCTAGGATGGCCTTGAAGTGTGTAGCCAAGGCTTCTGATCCTCCTGTCTCCACCATTAAGTGCTGGGATTACAAGGGTGTACCCTCGTGTCTGGTTTATACAGTACTGGGGATCAAATCTTGGACTTTATTCACATTAGGTAAGCAGTTGAGCTACACCCCAGCCCACCATACACTATTAATTCTAGTCCACGTGCTGTGTGCTCCATCTCTGCACTGACTCATCTCTTGTACCTGCATGCCTCCTGCACTTCCCCATCCCTGGTAGCCTCCTTCCCATCCTCTGTATCTACGGATCCAACGAGTCTGTAGTCTACACACAAGTGAAGCTGAGCACTGCTTTGTTCCTGTGGAGAGACACTTCTCTTGAGAAGTTCAAATCTCTGGGATCTCCAAGGAGAAGGAAGGCCAGACCTCAGAAATCTCTAGCTTTGGCATCCCTTGGACATTGTTTGAAGGATGCTCTTGTGGTCCATTCTTGAAGGGTGGTAAACACGATGAAAGGAGTCAGGCAGACTGCATCACACAGGGCAAAGTGGCCTCCCTCCCCCAGCCTTGTCTATAAAGTGATGATGGTGAGGCATTTGAGAAGGTTATAAATTGAGTATCACCTGGTCTGTAATTGACACTCAATAAACACAAACGTCTTCCTATTCTGTCTGTTTCCCTCAGACGTTACCAACACAGTATTTGTACCTGTAACATAGCCTGCAGTTGTATTTTGCCGTGAGATGATATCACTGGTCACCATGTTTACATGTTCTGTCAAGTGATCTGTTGTTATTTCCCCAAAGTGAACTTGATAGAAAGCTCAAGCAATAATCTACAAGTTTTCTCGGGACCTGACAGCTGGACGTCCTTATCCTCTACACCTCACGCCAGCATCCTGTCCGTACCCCACACCAATGGGCCAATCAATCCAGGGTCCAGGTAAGACCAACACCAGGAACTCACTCACAGTGGGACTTGGAGGCTTCCTGTATCTCTGAGGACTCATATGCATTGCTTCCAGGATGCATCAGTTTAAGCTATTGTTCTGACCTTAAGCCAGTAGGAAATGAAGGTGGCAACTGGGTGACTCTTTTGCATTTGGGGAAAGGGTGGTGAGAAAGTCCTTATTCAGCAATACGCTCTTCATTTTATGGCTACAGCATTTTACGGGTTGAGATGGTAAGTAGATTGGTCCATCTCTCCAGGCTTTGTACCAGGGAGCAGAGTTGAGAAGTGAGGCCCTGCGATGCAAGGATGATAGAAAACACTACTTTAATCCCAGCGCTCGGGAGGCAGAGGCAGGCAGATCTCTGTGAGTTTGAGGCCAGCCCGGGCTACAGAGTGAGTTTCAGGATAGGCTCCAAAGCTACACTGAGAAACCCTGCCTCGAAAAAAAAAAAAAAAAAGTGGGATTCAGAGATGTGAAGGAATTTGACCAAGGTCACAGAGCTAGAAGGTGGTAGAGGAGTCACCCTAGGGCTTCTGGAGGCACTGTCCTGCTGGTCGTATCTATCACATTGCCTGCCTTGGTCAGGGGGAGGCCATACCACAGCTCATACACTATAAGAACCTTCCTTTCACTGCTTTTATTATCGTAGGCAGCTGCAAGGGAGTCCCAGACAGATGAAATGCTGTTTGAGATTAAGTTGTTACTAGCAGGGGCAGCATCAGAATCCAGCCCTATTTTTTTTTTTAATTTATTCTATCTCACTGGGTCTTTTGGATTTTCTGCAGAAATAGAGACTAGAGAGACAGTCCCTGTCAGAAGCCCGCTTCCTATCACTGCCCCTCTTGGCCCTGCCTCTTACTGTCAAAGGGGTTCTGGAAATGTACCTGTGCTTGTTAGTGGCATCTCTTTGCTGAAGGACCATCACCGGTTCCTGTCTCTCTGCCTCTGCAGTCCCTATCCATGCCTGTGGACCATCAGCAATGGAGGTGGGGGTCCTGCCGCAGCAAGCGCAGAGGTGCATGCCGGTGCGCCAGGAACATTCCTCCTTGGGAACCCTGCCGTCACCTCCCCTTCCTCCGTGCTACCCACCCAAGCAACCACGTCCACCGCCGGTGTGGAGGCCCTCGGTGAACCTTCCCTCACCAGCATTGCTGTATCCACCTGGACAGCGGTGGCCTCCCATCCCTTCCCAGGCTGGGGTGGCCCAGGGGGAGGTGGACGCCATTCCCCCTCTTCCTTGGATAGTTAGGCAGGCTCCTAGGAGTCTCTGTCAGCAGAGAACTGTCTGTGTGTGGGTCCATAGCAATCGCACCTGCTGATTCCAGCGAGTTGGGCGGCTTCACCCAGAAGGCTGGAGGGCTGCATGGTGATGCCAGAGACCTTCTAGAAAGTGACTTAGTTTGGCTGGTGCAGATTTTACTTTTACTTGTGTGCCCACCATTTCCCGTGGCTCTCCTGCTTTCCCCAAGCTTACCCCCACCATGCTTAGGTTGTGAGGTCGGCTTTGTCCGTGTGCCCTGCCCCCTGCTTCCTTTTCTCTGGAGCTGCTGCAGGGTTGTGAGGAAAGCTCAAACATTGACCGCGTGAGGCTGCTGCTTCTCGGCTTTGTTTGTGCAGCCTCGAAAAGCATGTGTGGCCGTCAGATCTGAGCTGGCTTCTGCTTCGAGACCTTGAGATGGGAGTCTATAAGGTTAACGACAGTAAGCTAATGTTAAAGTCCATTCCGGGTTGTTCGTAGGAGTGTGTTTGGAATTGAGGAAATGAGGTTGACTCCCTCACTGGCTCATAAGAAGTGGCTCCCCATTTCCTACAGAACGAGACTTCTGAACGAGACTTCAGGTGATGTCATAGTCTAAGGCCAGCCTCTACCACTGGGCCTTCCTCTGCATCTCCAGCTCTGTGCGTTAACCTTTTAGCACCAGTCAAGCAGATGCTTTCCTCTTCTGAACACTGCTGCACATGCCCTTCTCCGTGTCTCTGCCTGTGCCTGAAGTATCTCTCCAGTCCTGCCTGTGTGAATTGTACCTACTGGCCAGGACAGCTTGAAAAACCACTTCGGTGTTCATCGCCTTGGGTGATGTTCATCTTTCTCTATGCCCTGCTTCCTGCCCCCCCCCCCCATCCTTACCTCAGGCACAGAGCTCCCCTCGCTCTGCCTTGTGTTTCTGTGTATCTGTCTCCCTTGTCGACTCTAAACCTCTTGAGGGTGGGACCCAGCCTTCCTGTCATTGTGCCCATAGCCTTGACTGTGCCTTGACTACCATAGGTGCCCAATAAACATTTGCTGAGTTGAACGGGTGTGAAGTGTGTGTTTGCCAAAAGGACTATATGGAGTTGACGGAGAGGGAGAACTCTGACCCTAGCTTGTGACACAGCAGCAAGGCAGTGTTGAAGCCAGAGACACATTGGTTAGACAGTCTCCCTCATCTGAGGCACAACCAACTTTGTGACTGAAATGACACATGGGAATGAGCAAGCCTATTAGGGAATCCCCTGGAACCATTTGTAGGGATACAGGTTCCTGGGTATGTCCCATATCTGTGGGTAGAGAATCTTTGGGCTGAAATTTAGCATCTGCACTTCAAAAATCCTTGGAAGTGATTGAAAAGCCAGGTAGGAAGCTACTTATTTCAAACAGAGAAAGAGAATGGGGATTATTCAGGTCTAGTTCATGAACTTCAACTTCTACCCCAGTCAAGGTCATTGCTGTAGTCAAGGAGTAAACCATGGCTTCATTCATTTTTCGTTTTCTTACCTGCTGTTGACTATGCCCAACAGTATAGAATCGAGCTTTCCAGACCTGAGTGGTGAGTTCTCTGCACAACATTACCAGACTGCACTGACCCAGGGGGCCTTAAGCTCCACCACAGCGAGGTTAACACCTCAGATCTCTGGAAATGATAATACTTCAGCTACCTGGGAGGCCATTGTAATCCATTTGGGTTGCCTGGCTAGAGCTCTGGGCCACTAATTGATGTGAATGACTAAGGCAAGCTATACTTATGTGACTGTTCTTTGAAAGGGTGCTCCATCGTCATGTTCCCATGGCAGTGCTGTAGCCCAGGTCCCCAAGTGTCTCTGTGACACCATTAGACATCATTAAGGTCTTAAAACATTAGCATCTCTGCCACATGGTATTTGGGTAAGTTTTAAAAAGTGGCTATGCATCTGGGCGGTAGGGGCACACACCTTTAATCTCAGCTCTCAGGAGGCAAAGACAGACAGATCTTTGTGAGTTTGAAGCCAGCCTGGTCACAGAGCTAGTTCCAGGACAGCCAGGGCTACACAAAGAAACCGTCTTGAAACAACAAAACAAAACAAAACAAAACAAAACAAAAATAAGACCATGGCTCATTCTGTCAGAGCTTTGAATGACGGCTGCTTCCAGTTCCTGGTGAAGGCCTTTTTGTCCTCAATTGCTGTAACAGTTCCTTGTGTGCCAAACGATGGATGTGTTCAGGTCTGTATGTCTGTCTCCATGTATGTTTCATTAAAGTATGAAAGCCCGTCTTCACACCTTTCCCATATCTCCCAGCCTAAAGCAAACAAAACACATGGTCCAGAGGCTCCAAACAGCAAGAAATCAATAACCTGGATTCTTTTCCGTTTGCTTTGCTCCAGCGGCTCCAATCCTCTGCAGAGCAGTAAAGCGTGCAGCAGCCGAGTTGGAGGTGATCAATCTCGTTAGTGTTATGGGATGCTCAACTTGGAATTTTATCGGGGACTTCGGGGGTCCAGCCCCTCGATAGTCCCCTCCCAGGGTCTGGAAAGAATCTACAACCAGCTGATAATTAATCTTTGATGAGAAGAAATGAATCTATGTACACGAAACTCCTTAATCCATACACTTTATTCTTCTGAGTCAGTTATAAGCTTATATTCTGCTCTCGTATTTAGCTCATTTCTAGCCTGATTTCTCTCTACACTTGTCTGCGGTCCCCTCTAGTTTGTATCTTAATTCCTTCATCTAGTTCTGCCCCTTCTAGGTTCTCATCCATCTTGTTCCTTCCCATATCATCTTTCCTCCCATCTCCTTCTCTCTCCTCATCTGGCTCTTCCTCATCTTGTTCTTCCCCATCTGGTTCTTCCTCATCTTCCATCTCATTCCTCTAGTACTCTCTTCTAGCCTTCAATCTAGTTCTTCCCCATCTCAGTTTGTTCCTCTCAAGTTCTTACCAGTCTAGTTCTTCCATTCTCTTTTCTCTTCTCCGACCCCCTGTGCCCTGGAAGTCCTGGTATATAAAGCCAGGCTTCCAGGGTCACATGGAAGGGTGATAAGAATCACATAGGGAGGCAATAACCGTTAATTATCATTTGCAACCCCAAAGGGAAGTGACCAATGGGGAAATGAATTAACTAAAGGCTGAATTCAGGTAATATCTAAGAAGAGGGCTCTTACGTGCTCAACTATAATCTTAAACGTGATTGGTAGAAAATGTTAAGAATCTATAAGTTGCTAGGTCAATGGGAGAAAATAAAACTGTCTTCTTTTTTCCTGTGGCTCCTATCCAAGCTATCTGCCATTTTTCTGCAGGGTGGGGGAAAGTGTGCTCAGTCGCTAGGCAACCTGTGTATAGCTGGATGCCTCTGGTGATAGTTAAAGGGAGATCTGGAACTGGAGGTAAGGTTTGGGAAAGGAGGAAGTAAAGCTTAATTGGCACATACGTCAGGCCTTCTCAAACAGGTAGATGGTTAAGTCTGTTCTTAGAGAATACAGAGGTATCTCTGATAAAGTACTCTTCTCCATCTGGGGATGGACCTGGCCGGATGCTGCTAATGATGATAATTACAGGGAGGCTTGAACTGGGGTTCTGGTTGAGCATAGCTGTCAGTGCAGGAGGTTATCTAAATGTTCCTAGAAGTGGTTAGGTAAGGAGTTAGCGGTCTATAAAGTTAGTAAGGCTGTAAGAAAGGGGGGTCCAAGCTGAACTGTGTAAAGCTATTACTTAACGTCCACCTGACCTAGGTGGTGTCTCCTTGTGGAATTTACCTTAAATCAGGAGACTTGCATGTAGACTGTTATTACTGCTAGTCCTTGAAAGTGGCCAAGGGAGATATCTGATTCCAGAGAAAGCCTTTCCTGAGGCTGTTTTCCAAATACCTGGAATGTGTATGTCCAGAGAGTGATCAGTCCACACTGTTAGCCCTTCTTAGGGAAAAGTCAATTGGGAAAACTATGAAGGCACACATGACTTTCATAATAGAATACAGCTGATGTATAACAAGCCAAGTAACACCAAAACCTTCTTGGGATTTGGCTTCCTCTGGAGGAATTCCCTGATTCCTCCAGGTAGTGGCTTTGCCATAACCAGCTGAGTTCTTATAATATATTCCTGCGGCCCGCAGCAGAATTTGAAATGATTCATGTACGTAGGCAAGTGAGAATTGCTTCTGCATTTAGGATCTCCTTGCTGGGTGAATATCAGCAGGCTGAAGGGCCATATAAAATTATCCTTGCACATCTGGGACACCACATCCTTTTCCCAGCACACAAGTCTCTGTTGAGGGCTGCCACAGTCCCACTCAGCTCCACCCCTCCAAGCAGAGATGGCTGGATCAGGATTTCTGTGTTTGTACCACAGTCCTATCTGTTACAGGCTGTGTGGTGCTCCTCAGACCACAGAGGGCTAAGTATCTCAAAAGAAAAAAAGAAATGGAGCCTCAATTTGAAATGCATTGTAATCAACATAAATTAAAAACATACATGAAGACAGGCCAAGTTTCACTGTAGGTGCCCAGGTTGATCTGACTTCATGGTCAGCCTGGTCACTATGGCTGTTCTGGGGACCCAAGGTGAAGTAATGGCTGCCCTTCATCCTGACAAGTCCTTGGGGTCTCCAAGCGGCCATTCTTTTCTTTGCACTTAGTACCTGGGGAGTCCAGGGCTGCTCTTGTAGAGCTTGGGCTGGTGACACTCTGGGACAATGTTTCCTGCTCCTTGGCATTGTCCACATTCAGTGTGAGTGTCTCTATTGGCTGTACCCTACGCCAGTCATCTGAAAATCCTCAGATACACCCAGAAGTGTGCTTTGCTGTTCTCCTGGGTGTCACTGAAGCCAATCAAGGTGGAGATGCCCCTCGGATGGTAGAGTTACATCTTTGCCCACAACTCAGTGTCACTACTTTACCGGGGAGGGGACCCAAGCATGAGCAATTACAGGACTCTGAAGGTACCTCCCTTAGCTTCTTGCCGTATCAACTTGGGTCTCTAGGGATACTGTAAATAAAGCAAAGGGCCTGCTTTTTTGGGAAGAAACTTGCTAGAGGAAGCAGGGAAGTGGGAGGCAGAGAGATGGGCAAATGAGCAGAGCCTCATGGGCTACATATTTCAGGGGCCTGGTGGCAGATGGCTGGTTCCAGGAAGGACTAGATGGCAGGAAAACATTGTTGGGAGTTTCTCAGAAACCCTTTGGGGCAGATTCTGGTAAAAACTGAATTTCCTAGAGCAGCAGAATATGGAGTTTGAGTTCATTGTAATTTGGATTATTAATGAAAATGTGAAAGCCTACTAAATGAAGCTTGCAAATATTAATGATAATTAGAAAAGAGGTAGTTTTGGAATAGATTATAGAAAGTGCACTTGTTGTCACTTCCCAAAAATCGTGTTGGAGATAAAAACATTCAGAATGCTTCAAGAATTCACTTTATATTTAAAAATTCTCAGAAGGGTTGAAGTGGAGAAAAACTTTGCATTTGTAATGACTTTGAGTTGGGAGGCCATTGATATGCTAGGCCACAGGTTGGTGAGCCTGCCTCCAGGATGTCACTGAGCAAGATGATGCCACGAGTGTCTTTCTCCACAGAGGATGAGGTTCAGGGCCCCTGGGGTGGGCTTTTCGGTTTAAACCCAGGACGGCTTGGGCTTGTTCAGGTCTAGATGGTCCCATCATTATACTGGGTCATATCCTTGAGGGGTGATCAGTGGGAATTGACCACCTTGCTGCTTTTATCACATGGGGGATGGGTATTGTATGAAGAGAAGTGGTGGCTGGGGAGGAGATGTATCAGGAAAGGTAACAGATGGACTTGCATTCTTACTGCTGCAGTTCCCTCAGCCTTCTGTAGGTGGCGCGGTTGTTCAACGTAACTATTTCTACAGAAGAAAACTGCCTTTGTAGAAGCATCTAGAAGTGCTCTTAGACCCAGCCCATGCAGTTGCTTGATTGCAGTCAACTCTGTATGCTTATCTCAGTTTTATCAAAATCACCCCCCCCCCCCAAAACTTGCTTACCCTGAGCCGTAGAAACACTTGTGTGTGTCCTTAAGCATTTCTTTTTTCAGTCTGTAAAACTCC